GATGTCTAGTCCTTCTCATTCTATTGTTTTCCTCTATTTCTTTGCACTGATCACTGAAGAAGGCTCTCTTATCTCTCCTTGCTATTCTTTGGAACTGCACATTCAGATGTTTATATCTTTCCTTTTCTCCTTTGCCTTTAAGCTTCACTTCTTTCCTCAACTATTTGTAAGGCCTACTCAGACAACCACTTTGTCTTTTTGCATTTCTTTTTCATGGGGATGGTCTTGATCACTGCCTCCTGTACAAAGTCACAAACCTCTGTCCATAATTCTTCAGGCACTCTATCAGATCTATTCCCTTGAATGTATTTGTCACTTCTACTTTATCAGTTCAGTTCAGTCGCTCAGTCGTGTCTGACTCTTTGTGACCCCATGAATCACAGCATGCCAGGCCTCCCTGTTCATCACCAACTCCTGGAGTTTACTCAAACTTATGCCCATCGAGCTGGTAAGGAATTTGATTTAGGCCATACCTGCATGGTCTAGTGGTTTTCCCTAGTTTCTTCAATTTAAATCTGAATTTGGCCATAAGGGGTTCATGATCTGAGCCAGTCAGCTCCCAGTCTTGTTTTTGCTGACTATATAGAGCTTCTCCATCTTTGGATGCAAAGAATATAATCAATCTGATTTTGGTGTTGACCATCTGGTGATGTCCATGTGTAGAGTTGTCTCTTGTGTTATTGGAAGAGGGTGTTTGCCATGACTAGTGTGTTCTCTTGGCAAAACTCTGTTAGCCTTTGACCTGCTTCGTTTTGTACTCCAAGGCCAAATTTGCCTGTTACTCCAGGTATTTCTTGACTTCCTACTTTTGCATTCCAGTCCCCTATAATGAAAACGACATCATTTTTGGGTGTTAGTTCTAGAATGTTTTCTAGGTCTTCATAGAACCGTTCAACTTCAGCTTCTTCGGCATTACTGGTTGGCGCATAGACTTGGATTATTGTGATATTGAATGGTTTTCCTTGGAAATGAACAGAGATCATTATGTTATTTTAGAGATTGCACCCAAATACTGCATTTCGGACTCTTTTGTTGACCATGATGGCTACTCCATTTTTCTAAGGGATTCTTGTCCACAGTAGTAGCTATAATGGTCTTTTGAGTTACATGTGCCCATTCTGGTCCATTTTAGTTCACTGATTCCTAAAATGTCAATGTTCACTCTTGCCATCTCCTGTTTGACCACTTAGAATTTACCTTGATTCATGGACCTCACATCCCAGGCTCCTATGCAATATTGTTCCCCCCCCCCCCCCATTATTTTTATTAGTTGGAGGCTAATTACAATATTGTAGTGGTTTTTGCCATACGTTGACATGAATCAGCCATGGATTTACATATGTTCCCCATCCCAATCCCCTCTCCCACCTCTCTCCCCATCCCATCCCTCTGGGTCTTCCCAGTGCACCAACCCCAAGCACTTGTCTCATGCATCCAGCCTGGACTGGCGATCTGTTTCACACTTGATGATATCCGTTTGATGCTATTCTCTCAGATCATCCCACCCTCGCCTTCTCCCATAGAGTCCAAAAGTCTGTTCTATACATCTGCGTCTCTTTTTCTCTCTTGCATATAGGGTTATCTTTTCCATCTTTCTAAATTCCATATATATGTGCTAGTATACTGTAATGGTGTTTTTCTTTCTGGCTTACTTCACTCTGTATAATAGGCTCCAGTTTCATCCACCTCATTAGAAGTGATTCAAATGAATTTTTTAATGGCTGAGTAATATTCCATTGTATATATGCAGCATAGCTTGCTTATCCTTTCGTCTGCTGATGGGCATCTAGGTTGCTTCCATGTCCTGGCTATTATAAACAGTGCTCGATGAACATTGGGGTACACGTGTCTTTTTCAGATCTGGTTTCCTCAGTGTGTATGCCCAGGAGTGGGATTGCTGGGTCCTATGGCAGTTCTATTTCCAGTTTTTTAAGGAATCTCCACACTGTTCTCCATAGTGGCTGTACTAGTTTGCATTCCCACCAACAGTGTAAGAGGGTTCCCTTTTCTCCACACCCTCTCCAGCATTTATTGCTTGTAGACTTTTGGATAGCAGCCATCCTGACTGGCGTGTAATGGTACCTCATTGAGGTGCAATATTGATCTTTACAGCATCAGACTTTACTTCCATCGCCAGTCACATCCACAGCTGGGTGTTGTTTTTGCTCTGCTCCGTCTCTTCATTCTTTCTGGAGTCGTTTCTCCACACTCTTCTCCAGTAGATACTGGGCACCTAGTGACCTGGGGAGCTCCTCTCTCAGTGTGGTATCTTTTTGCCTTTTCCGGCTGTCCATGGAAGGTCCCCGACTAAGTGACTGTTCTGATCCTAACCGTCCACTCTCTATCTCAGGTAGGAGCTACTTCTTGTTTGAAAAATTTTCAGGGAGGTGTCAGCAGGAGGAATATTTGGAAGCAGGATGAGAGAGGGTACATACCCCCTGGCAGCCAGGCAGAGTAAAGACCAAACGTCAGCTGTTGGAAGGTTTATCAGCCCTTTCATCCTAAATTAGACAGATGGCATTCCTTTACTCTCTGTTGTAGATGGAAGCTCAAGCTAGGAATGTGATACATTTGTGACTGCTTGAGCACAGTGTATTTTATCAAAAGCACTTAACTTTATTAAAAATTTTCAACTGTTTTTCTACTTATGAATAGCCAGGCTATGAAATAACATCTCTGGCATCCGCAGTAGGAAAAGTCACTGGAATTAAGAGTAGGGAAATTCCAGTTTGGAGTTCCAGTTCTGATAGCAAGAAAATTCCAGCCTCTGCTTGTCTACAAGATCAAGGGGTTAACACCTTCCCCATGGGGCTGTGGGCATATAGCACGCATATGTCAGACCTACGTAAGCTGTTGCATCAAGGCTAGGTATTTCTACTTGTAGGCATTGGCCTGGCGACTTATCCTTGAAAATTTAGTTTTAATATGCTTTCTGAAAAGTATAAATACAGTATGAAGAGTCAAGTAATGGAATAACTGGCTTTCAAGACTCCCAATAAAAGAAGGAATTGTAACTCTTCTCTTAGAATTAAGATAGCCTGCTATCATTTGAGAACTTAAGTAGTAGGTTTCAAGCCTGTCAGTTTCTAGAATTATACCTATCTCTCCCTCTAAAGGGGTCATTCAGTAAATTTGTCTTTAAAAGCCAAATGTGAAACTTGTGTGTGTTTATCCCAAAATCAAAACAACTGCTCATGGAAATTAAAGTGCTTAACATAAACTAAACTTTAAGCGTTGGTTTCTTTCCAATAATGAAGCACATCCTGGTAAATGCTCCCCAAGAAGACATTACAACTGGTATATAATTAACTAATGCCTAATATTTTTAGTCAGAATTTTAAATCCTCCATTTTCCCTTTTCTGTTTAGGAGGGGGAAAAATTTAACTTGTAACTATCAAAATACATCTTATTCAAAGAAATAATAGTACCATTTCTCTTAAGACCCTTGTCCTCAGTTTATTAGGGTCAGAAATTTAATTTGTTCTTGTCAGCAAAGGTGCTATAAGTTTATGTCTATTTTAAAGAAAGAGAGCTCTAAAACTCTGTGGGATCTCTGAGGCCCATACAAAGAGGCATGGATTACAATGCAAGGGGCAAAGCCCCCACCTCCAAATAACTAGACTTGGATTTCTTTTAAATTTTTAGGTGGCCCAGTGTCACTTCTTTCACAATCATAAAACGACCTCATAAATATGAATGTCTTTTATTATGAAAATTGCTGTTACATTACAGCCAACATTCCAAAACAGTATTTTAATAAACACTTGTCTTGATTATAAAGTAGAGCAGAAACCATGATCCTTTTTCAAAATCAATTAACATCTGCAGATGTTACCATGAAGCAGAAGGGGGACACTCCAAACGCTCAGCCTGGTGTGGAGGAGATGAGATGGGGAAGAGCACCTATGTCATCCAGAATAGCTACTAGTGTTGTTTGTACAGTGTAAACCAACCACTTACAACAGGACATTTAAAAACGGTGAAAAGCAAAACAATAAAAGGCTGAGGTGTCACAATACTTTTGAGATGGGAAAAGCCAAAGTGAGTTTCCTTTTCCTTCCCCTCTGTGAGTTCAGTGCAAGGTACAGGGAAGAACCACAACACTAGGTCAAGGATGGATGCACTTCTTTGCTTCCATATTTCCCAGTCTCCAGTCCTATTCTAAAAACAGCCTGCATGCAAAAGCCCTTCAGGCTTTCACAGGTCCTGGAACACAGCATTTGCACGCGGATGAATGAGGTTCCACAGCAGCTCAGAGTCAGTGTCTGAATTCCAGTGTATCCACTCTGGAGCACTGTAAGGAATCCAAGAACACAATTCCTATGTTCTTTCTCATCGGGAGGCAGCAGACTCCTATTTGGGTGTGCTCCATGTTTGGGGTCAGGGTGTAGAAGGAGTAACTGCACAGAACCTTGCCATCACGAATAAATGCCCTGGTGGAAAAACTTAGAAAAAGTTAAAATTGCAGTTTAAAAGTTCCTCTTTCCCCTCCCCTCAGCAAAGAAGCATGGTGCACACATGATTGCAAGGAATTTTGGAAGGCATAGTGTGGCTACTATAGTTTCAAGTACAAAGTGTTCCTTGCAAAGGGGCCTGGGGTGACTGAGGGCAAACCAGAAACTCAAAAACATTCATCAGCCTCTTTAATGTAAGAAGCCACACTGAGAATTTTGTCCTACAAGTTCATGAGCTGGCATACTCTTTACCATAGGAAGGGATAGCCTCGTTTTTCCAACAGCAGATGTATGACACTTGGGAAACCTAACACAGGCCAGGGACTGGTCTAATCTGATTTCTACCTCCTTTTCCGTCCTCCCTTTCCACCATACAGTCTTTTATTCTGGGCTCAGAGCTCCAACCACTAGCAAGGCTCAGAAATAACAACCACAATAATACAATGTCCTAATTTCAACACTGTTCTTTTTGCTGCTCCAGGAAGACACCAGATGGTGCTGAAACACTCTGAACAGATAAGCCATTTGTCAAGCTGTTCAGCAGCCTAGTTAAGCTTCTCACGCTGGATCTGGTAGTAACATGCCTGAAAGAAAAGTTCAAAACCATTTAAAATTTACTTTAAAAGAAATTCATAAACATAAAAATGCATATGGGACTAAGAAAGGAACTCCTTTACGAATACTGAGCGCTCAACAAAATCAGCTGCTTTCATATTTTCCCCTGTTTTCTTCCAGTCCCCCTATCCTATCTCATGTCTACTTTGCCTAGTTATTAATTAGTAGAAATAAAACTTTGTAAAATTCTAATTCTAAAACAGACAAAAAAAATTTTTCCAAGCTGTTTAACATCTGTCATTAAGTAGAAATACCTTAATTTGCTAAGCCACTGCTGACCAGACATTTAGAATATGCTGATAATCAGTATAAGGTATAAAAACAAGTGTAATCAGAATCACCAATATGTTTGATAAACACACAGGTTGATATTAAGCATCATTCCAGACCTACTGAGTCAGAGGATTGGATAACTTGCTTTAGTATTTTGAGACTGACCGTTTCTACTTTTCTTTAATATAGTATGTATTTTAAAATATTAACAATATGTGCTCCAAAGGCACTTAATGTTTGTATTAAAGTTTTATATAAAAGAAAGTGGTTAATGAAAGAGTCACAATATGGCAAATGAAGGAGAGATTTTAACATAATAAAATATTAAATAATATCTATATTTTACCTTCAGAGTAGTGAACATTATACCCTGTTCTCCATGCTGAAGATATGGGTCCATTAGATCCTCAATGAGGTGTACCTCAGAGCCTAAATTCCTAATCCTGCCCCAACGAGAAAGAGATATTGAGTTACTTCTGCTTATATGTACGTCCTACTTCTGAATCTATTTAAGTCAGAAGAGATTGGTCACCTGGCCCGGAGCACCACATATAAGAAAACAGGGAATAAGTCATCCATGGACCACAGGAAGTCTTCCTGAAGTGACGCCAGGACACTCTGAGAGATCTCTTCAAAAGTCTGCTGGATGACTTTCAGTTTGTCTGATGGGGTAAACGTTGTGCTGTTGTAAAAAAAAAAAAAAAAAAATTAAAAACTAGAAATAAATGACAAAATATAGCCTCTGGTTGTTTTCTTAGTAGAGCCATTTGATATTGTTTGACAATATACTCTAAGGGCTCATGTGCCTTAAGCTGGACACATCAGGCAGAAGGAGTCACTGGAAGGGATGACCTCTGTAAGCTTATGATTCTTGGAGGAAAGAAGCTTCCAACTATGAATGGTTCACATGAAAGAATTCACTAAGTCACAGATCACCTCCTTTTACCCACATGGAACCTTACTGTCCTAACACATGCTCTTTGCTGAGTAAGAAGCTTAATTTCCATTTGGCTAAAGATATGATTATGTAGATAAATTTCTAGGTAGGTTCTCCACCACTTCTGTAAATGCAAGAGCCTTGTAGAGTAAAAGGTAACCCAAATGTCTTAAGAGTCTTTCTGATATCCAGGCTGAGTTTGACACCATCTTGCGGGGTTGGGTGTGGGGGGACTAGAGTTTAGGTAAATATAAGATCTCATTAATATCTTAATAAACTAACCACTCGTTTGATCTACATAATTTTCAACAAAGCAGAGATCACCTGATCTGCTGCAGACATTCCACAGCTGAGGCAAAACAAGCATCTTTCGTGGTTGGCAAAACCTGCAAAAAAAAAAGGACTGATAAAGGTCAAAGAAGAAAGCTGTCTTTTGCAGTGACAATAAACATACATGACACCAATCACAGAATGTGCATTTTAAATGAATAACTTACACTTGTATACTACACTGTCAAAGTAAAATGGAAATTTTTTTTGCTATCTCTAATCCCCCACAGCAAACAAAAGCATATTTGCTAAGGAAACTAAAATTCACTATACCTTTTTACTCTCTCCAAGGACTGACAAGGTCACTGGCCAAAATTTCCTACAATGGAATCCATACGTTGTTAATATGTGTTTGTGTCTTATGGTAGATTAAGCCCCCAAAAAACAGTTAATGATTAGATTGACTTTCCAGTCCCCACTTAAAATAACTATTTCAGTTACTTAGTTTTTACTATTGAACCAGTCCGTTGAAAAAATTTACTTTCCAATTAAGGCTCAATCACTTTTTTCTAATAGCACAAATCTATAATTATTGGGTGCTGGTGTAATCAGCTTTATCATAACACTTCTAGAAAGTGTAATTATTGAGTGTTTCCTTGGATTATAGGAAACAACACCCTACAATAAAAAAGGGCACTTCTAAACTTTTAATTAGAAATTGAGGATGGGAAGAGAGGGAGGGAAGAGAAGAGAAAAGAAGGGAAAGAAGAATGCCAGAGACTGAATACAATTAACTTTTTCTGAAAATGTGAATGTATGTACTTGGCTTTGAAGAACTGCAAAGTATCAGTCAGGAAAAACTCAAATTATTTACATATATTCAGAAGAATAATCAGATTTCAAATTCACATCTACAGATTCTCAAAGTAAAGATTTTTAAATATCACTATTTTGCTAAAGACAGGCAATAAATAAATAAACTATAAATCATATATTTAATTAAATATCAAAGTACCAAATTCCTGGTAATGCTGTTTGTATTTTGAGTTAAAACCACTAGATCCCATTCATAATTACTGTACTGACCTCTGCACCCCAAGGAAGCCCAAAAGAGCAAGGTCTGCCTGCTTATTTAGCCGGAGAACACATTCCCAGTAGACGTCCTCCTCACGATCATTGTCCAGGGCATACAGCATGAACAGCGGTGGGTAGAGCCGAGGTAGGAGCACGGGAAGCAGTAACCCGGAACCTGTTACCACATAGCTACAAAACAGCACAGGGAGAAGGAGAACCCTTAATATTAAAACCAAACATAGAATCAAACATGGAGCTTCATTTTCTAGAAGTGGAAAGTAAAGGTAGGAAATTTTGAGTAAAGAAGCAGTTCTATTACTTCTTTTATGTAAGGATTTAACATGAGAAGTTTACCTATGGCCCCAGAGTTTTGTCTTGGGCCATCTGTGAATTCTTTCCATAGGCTCAAAATCTAAATGAAAGTCCACTGTGTTTCCATTTTAAGGCTGACTTCTCTGTTGAACTGGGGCAAAATGATCTACTTTGCTCATCAGGCTTTGTGCCTAGTCATCTGTGGTTACAGTTTCATGGCATTTGGCTAACAAAACTTGAGACCTAAAAGAAACCTCGGAGACCACCTAATCCATCCAAACTATTTTAAAAAGAAGGAAACAGATCTAGAGAAAAGAATTTTTCCTGGGATTCTCTGTGTAAGATCACTTGGTTCCCATCCTCTTCTTCACCATCTCCACCTAGCTCTACTCACCCTGGCTCTGGTGATTCAGATCTGGAATCTGACTTCCCAGTGCAGAAGGATTTCCTTTCAGTCGGCAGAGGGGCGGAGAGAGGAATTGTGCTGCCCTCTTCAGGAAGCTCAGGAAATAAGAACCTAAGGAAGAATAAAAAAATCAGTTACACCTTTAGAGTGAATAAAAAGAGTAAAAACACATTTCCATTATTTAATCTACTTAAGGACCAATTAAATCAAGCTTCATATCAACTATTAATGAAAATGATAATTCCCTTAAGAGTCTTAACTAATGCTTCTTACATAAAATTAGCAATGTAGCTAATGAATGTGTGTGTGCTCAGTCGTGTCCCACTCCGCAACCCTGTGGACTATAGCCTGCCAGGCTCCTCTGTCCATGGGATTCTCTAGACAAGGCTGCTGGAGTAGGCTGCCAATTCCTCCTCCAGGGGATCTGCCCGACCCAGGGATTGAACGTGCGTCTCTTGCATCTCCTATACTGGGAGGCAGGTTCTTTATCACTGCACCACATGGGAAGCTTAACAGGATATAAATACTCAAGGATGAAACTTTCTATTAGACTTTGTCTTCTCCAGGTTTTAGAGACACAACTTTACCTAGAGATTAAATCCAAATAAGACTCCTATACATCATACCAAAATTGGTATTAAAAATTTATTTTTAGCCTTCTATTACACTTAACGAGTAAGAAAGACATAAAGGAAGTAAGTTACAATGGCTATGAACACAAAGTACAAGTGTGTTTTCACTGACCTCCTGAAGGATCTGCGGCATAAAGCCATCTTCCTGATGAGTAATCTCTGCAGTAAAGGGGGACCGTTGATGACTCCTTGCAAAGCTGTGATCTCTAGATTCAGGGTGAAGCCACCCAAGCATGAGTATAAACTAGTATTTCCACACCTTGGTGACATGAAAAGCTCTCTCACCTCACCAGCTGGAAAATTCGCTTAAGGTAGGACTTAATCTCCTTCACAGCCTCCTGCAGTAGCCGGCGGTTGGCTCCCACACCCACATATGTCATTCTATACACTGCAACCAGAGTCTCCACGAGCCTGCCCAGCGGGTGCAGAGGAGTGTCACAGGCCTGAGCAGGAAGAGAACCAATGCAGCCAGTGTGCACCAACAGCGGAAACAATCAAAATAAACAATTTCAAAAATGATAAACAATTTTCAAGGCATCAAGAGACTACTTTTTGGACCAGGAATATTTAAATGCTTCAACTTCTCTGAAAGCATTAATTCTACCCAAATTACATGGAGTAGGAACTCTTAATCAAAGAATCCTATTAACATTTTGGGAAAACAGCTTTGGATATACTGATAGAGAATAACATCATTCAAAGAAAGCTTCTAAGGGCATTCCCTGGCAGTCTGGTGGTTAAGACTCTGCACTTGCACTGCACAGGTTCAACCTCTGGTCAGAGAATTGAGACCCCACATGCCGTGTGGCCTGGCCAAAGGAAAAAAGAAAAGAAAGATAACATACCTTAAATGTCAAGAAAAATACATGAAATGTTACCTTGCATAAATTGAAACAGTCACTGCTCAGTTCCCTTGATTTCTCCTAATACTCCTTCCTGCACCCCTACATCAATGCACGTCAAACGTTAAACTGTGGTCTGATTTCACAGGGTTGGAGAAGGAAGCAAAGGCAGTATAACCATGGGGTGAGGGCAGAGTGCCTTCTTTATAGAACTTCTAGTTTGCCAATGTTACAAACAGAATGCCATTTTAAACTCTGACCCTAGATGTCCAAAATCCCCTTGAACGTTTACAAAACTTCTAAATTTCTACCATCATAATCAGCCAATCTCTAGGTGGAAATGTGCTTTTAGCAGTCAGAGAATTAACAAAAGACATATTAAAAAAGCAAAAATAGGATATGAGTAACAATAACCTGTGAGTACATTGAATGATATACTGTGTTAGTTGTATCATTAATTAACAAGATCAGTATGGTTCCGATTCTCATTTACCTTTATTAAGTATTTCTTAATGTCATCGTATTTCTCCACGGAGAAGGCACCAACATGCTGAGGAATGAATTCCAAACTCTCTAGTGTCTGAGTCTGTGAACGACTTAGTATCTCTGGGCTATAAAAGGGAAAAGAGAGCCTATCATGTATTTTAAGAAAGCAAGATAATTTTAAGTGCACATGAAGCTCTATTAAGGATGAAATGGGGCAACCATCACAGTGTTCCCAAATGTGCTTACAATTTCTAACTGTCCTGTATTAGATTTATATAAGTTATTTAAAACAGTACTTAATGTTACTCCACACAAACCACAATAAATTAAAGAAAATGTTGTGTCAATATAAACCCTGGTGTTGAAAAACACTGTAATGTTAGCCTGAAGAGAAAACTGGTGACAGACTTGTTAGTGAGGATAGAAATGGAATAAAGGGGAGAGGGAGAGCTAAAGAATGAAGGAAAACAAATCAAAGGGCAAAGGATGAAATGGAAATGAGCTCAAGATGTAAGGGGATAATGTGGACACTACAACAGGTGGTGGGGTACGCACACAACGGGTAAAGGGAAGCTTCAGATGAAGAGGTTAAGACAACACACTAGCCATCAACTGAACTTTTTCGTATTGGCACTCTATCATTAGATTATAACCAATGAGAAATCAGAAACAGTACACAATTAACACTGATACTATTTTAATAATATCAATGAACAAATAAGATCTTTGTGGCAGTAATGTGGTTTTACACAAAAACTCATTCATTCTCACTTCTTGGAAACACCCAACAAGAGTTAACCAAAGTTAACTGGAGGACTCAAGTCTCAATGTCTTGACCCAGGGGCTCTATCAGCGAAGGCTGACCAACTGCATCCCATAAGGACACATCCACAGCTTTAATCAATCCTGGGAGTTTCCATTTCTTTCACTAATACAGTAGGAGATAAAACTCATAAACTTCATGAATGAAACACTATTATCAATTCCCATTGATCCCCAATACAGGAAAAAACAAAACCAAACCTTCTTTCTATACTGCAGGGATTGGCAAGTTCTTTAGATTCAAATGCTAATCAGCACTTGCAGAAGTGACTGGCCAAGTTACATACAGAAATATGAAGAATGGCAGATGGAAAAAGAAAAGGGAAGAAAATAAGAAAAAGAAAGAAATGAAAAGTACATCTGTAATTTTTCTTTCAGCACTTCCAAATCATTGTACCATTTCCTTTTGGCCACCAAGTTTCTGACAACAAAGATGTAGCCATTTGAACTGCTATTGCCATATATATGTAATGCATAATTCTTCTGTAGCTGCTTTCAAGATTTTTTCTTCCAATTTGAATATCACATGTCTGTGCATGGATATCTGTTTTTTTCTAGGATGAAGTTTGTTCGGCTTCTTGAATGTGCAGGTTTATGTGCTGGGCTTTCAACCAAACTTGGGAGTTCTCAATCACTACTTATTCAAATATTTTTTCAGCTCTGCAATTTTTCTCCTTTCCTTCTGGGATTCCAAGGACACAAATGTTAAGACTCTGAGGTCCTTAGAGCTCTGTTCACTTTTTTTTCACACTCTGTTGTTCAGCTTAAATAATTTCTATTAGTCTATTTTCAAGTTTACTGACTCTTCTGCTGTCATTTCCTATCTGCTCCTGAGCCCACCCAATGATTTTTAAAATTTTACTTACTGTATTTTTCATTTCAACAATTTTGATTTGGTTCTTCTTTATACCCTCTATTTCTTTGCAGGTATTTTCAATTTTAATATTTGTTTCAAGGATGTTTACAATTGCTCATCTGAATGTTTTAATAATAACTCCTTTAAAGTTCTTGTCATATAATTCCAAAATCTAGGTTAAGGGGTCATGGATGTCTGTTGATTATCTTTCCCCGAATAAGTTGAGATTTCATGGTTCTTTGATTGCCAAGTAATTCTGGTTTATTTCCTGGACATTTTGAGTATTATGCTATGAGATTCTGGGTCCTGTTTATAACCTATTGAGAATGTTGCATCCAAAACATAGTAAACACAGTAGAACTGAAACTGTTGTCTTTACAAGGACCTGCCTATGAAGCTGGCCCTTGGGTGGCACCTGGGAACCAAATCCCCTATGCGAATATGAAGCATTTCCTCACTGATAAGGGTATTGTGGTGCTGCCCGTATTAACAAAGTGATTTACGGTGAACATGTGCTTCCTTCTGGGACTGTGGGATTTTAGCAGCTAGTAGGCTTAAGATGCCTATGTGACCAGTTCTCAGTAAACACCGGGGGCAGTTCATCTCTGATGGGCTTCACTAAGCAGAAATACCGTGTGTGGGGGGCTGCATTTTACTGCCTGGGGGAGAGTGTGCTGTATGTGAGCCCTCAGAGAAGAGGCGAGCACGGGAAGCGTGCACATGGGTTCCTCCAGACTCCGCGCGTGTCTTCTTCCCTGTGATCAGCTGTGGAGCCTTGCCGTGTTGCTGGAACGACTCTGACCTGTGAGCACAACTATATGCTGAGTCACACTGCGCCCCTCCAGTGAATCACTGAATGTGTGGGTGACCTGGGAGTCTCTCAGACACCTGGTGTTCTGTTTCAGCTGCCTGTGGGCTATGGTTTCAGTGTCAGGCCACTTCCCGTGGGCCATGCAGGCCTGTCTGGGTCTGTTCCGCGAATGCCACTCAAGCGTTGGTCTGGGACCTAGGTGGACTGCTAACTAGAATCAAATCCACACATGAACAGGTATGGGGTGAGTCCAGGAGTTCATAAACAACTTATCAGGGTTGCTTTCCAAAGTTCCTCTCTCTCTATGACCTCCCCAGCATTTTCTGATTCCCCCTGTAGGTAAGGCTTCTGCCTGAAACTACCCACTTCCATAAAGCAGTGGGAGGACAGAGAGAGAAGCCAGCACGGCAAAGGTCTGGCCCTGATGGCCCACCAGGGAGAAGGGCCCACCCCGCGCGAGCCCTGGCTGCTTCAGCTGCTGCATCGCTGTCCTGCCACAGAAGGGTCTGTAGGCTGAGGCATGAGAAAGGGGAGAAGCAGAGACCACCAAGGGAGAGGAAGGGCCCACCCTGCGCGAGAACTGGCTGCTCGAGCTGCTGCACCATCGTCCTGCCACAGAAGGGTCTGTAGGCTGAGGCATGAGAAAGGGGAGAAGCAGAGAGAGAGAACCCAGTGTTCCTCCTCCACTCTTTCTGAGCTCTAGGAGTCTCTGGTATCTTTAGCCAGAAATCGAGGCGTTTTTCTGGATCCCTACACCATAGTGTGTGCATCTAGTTTCAAGTTATACTGAGTTCAAGCTGAGAAACGCTGAGGTTAAAAAGCTTGTAAACTCTCCACTGGTCGGGTGGCACGCTGAATTCAGGTGCTCTCCCCCAATAATCTGCTGACATGTGCTCTTCAGAGTTTTGAATAGCTCACCATGTATTCTGCCTGCATTTTATATTAATAGTTGAGTTCAGTAGAAGACACAGGGAGGCGTGTTTTATCCATCCTTACCCAGAAGTACATCACTGACTTCTAAACTGTACTTAAAACCTAAATGCGGAAATCCTTAACAACCTACTCGCTTCAGGTTTCGTCTCCCACCAGGCTCTGTGCTGGGCAGGCATCCACGCACCTGTCTCTATGCTGGCGCCGACTGGTGGTCAGGGCCACAGCGATATTGTCCCACGCTTTCCAGACTTCCCCTTGGCCTGGGTTCTCACAGCCGAGCTGATGCCAGCACTCATCAAACACGGCTTTCCACTTCTCATCAGCTGGTACCGCCAGGTTTCCAAGCTTCCTGCTGATAAGGTTATGTCAGCCTTTTACTGATCACTTATTTTTGTGCAAATATCCTAAGGAATAGAAACTTTCTAATAATATACGAACTGTAAATACTTCTGTGACAAAAGCTGCCCAAGTTGATAGTGGCTCTGTTGTTTAAAGACTGAATAAAAAGTATAATGGGATGGTTCTTAGCTACTTAGTGTTTATTAGATACTAAAGCGTATGAACTGTTAAGTATGAAGCACATCAGATTTGTCTCCTTTGCTTTCTACATTTCTACAGAATTGATTTTGAAAAACTGATTCCTACTAAAAAGAGAAGTTTCTGTGCCTTGTATATCTCACAATGAGAGCTGAAACATACATTATGCACCGGCTTCTAAAAATACTCTTTATAAACATGCTAGAGAAAGCATATCACGCTCCCATGAAAACAAAGAGTCTGAGATGCTATCAAAATACAAAAACAAAGCAGAAGCTGGAATCAGTAAAGGAAAATAAACGTGCCAAAAACCTAGAGAAAGAACACAATACACTTAGTGACTTTGATTTTTTCCCATATATGCAGCGTATACTATCCCACTTATTGTTATGTGTAGGGCTGATCTTTACTTTTCAAAATCAAGCTGTGCAGGGCTTCCATTTTAAAAGGTTCTCTTTCAATCAACTTGGATTCCAGTACCATTAACATTAAGATTATTCCTGCACATAGAACTTTCATCAGTTTAAACATTTATGCTCTGAGGCTATAACCTAAGACAAGACTGTAGATTTAGCTATCTGTAGCAGTGTCAGTTTATGATTTGGGGTTATACACTGCTTACAAAAACAGATTTTAAAAACTTGCTCTGCATTTGAAATATTAACCACTTTTTACAAAAGCAAGACAACTCAAAACATTCAATAATTAATCCATAATTAACAGTCATTACTCACAAAGCTTTAGGTCTGTCTTTATCACTCTCATACAGACTAGGCTTGAAGTATGTTCCAGTGATTTTGATCCCAGATCCCCATTCTCCACTAAAATAACCTTCAATGTAATCTCCATTTGGCATAGTCAGTGTTCCCTAGGTAATGGTAGAGAAAATGTGTAATTACAGGAAGTATTTCCAGTCTTAAAAATCAAGGAGGGGGGAGGTGGAAAAAAAAACAGCACTAAATGGTTGGCATTTTCACTTTTTAACTAGTCCCTAATCCTTAAAAAAAAGTGTACATACATGCATGTCCAAAAAGAGTATATGAAAATAACTCACGGGTTAAAGAAAAAAAAAATAACAACTAAAACTGTTAAAATACTTTGAGCTCTATAAAATGAATACACAACTTATCTAAATTGATGCAATGCTACAAAAGCAGTGCTTAGAGGCAAATTTAAAGCTGTAAATGTCTATATTATTAAAAAAAAAAATCTGAAATCAATAATCTAAAATTCCACCTCACAAAATTAGAAAAAAGCAAACTAAACCCAAAGCAAGAAGACACTAAAGATTAGAGTAAAAATCAATGAGAAAGAAAATAAGAGATAAAAAACAATGAAACCAAAAGTTGCTTCTTTGAAAAGATATGAAAACTTGACACACATTTAACTGGATTGACTAAGAAAAAAAGACCAACACTTAACTAGACTGATCAAGAAAAAAAGACATAAAATAGAAAATCAAAAAACAGAGGATGTTAAAATGCAATAAGCTATAAACAAGTAAATTCTTAAAATGTCAAAATATTTGAAAATATACATTTCACCAAAGAAGACAGATGAATTGCTAGTAAGTACTTGAAGATATGCTCTATAATGAGATTATTAATCACTAGGGAAATGTTAATTAAAACCATGAGGTTTCAGTTCACATCCCCCAGAATGACAAAGAGGAAAAAAAGAAAATAATACTGGCAAAGGTGTGAAGAAATTAGAATCCTTATACATTGACTCTAGGAAAGTAAAATGATGCAGCCACTTTGGAAAATAGTTTGGCCATTTCTTAATATGTTAAACATCAATTTTCCATACAACCCAGCAACTATACTCCTAGGTATCCACCTGGGAGAAATGAGAACACATATTCGCACAAGAAGGGGAAATGGAAAACAGAAACAAACTCACAGAGACAGAAAACAAACCTGTGGTTTTGAAATGGGAATGGATAGGATGTGGACAAATTAAGGGTATGGGATTAACAGACACAATGTACTATGTACACAGTAGATAAGCAACAAGGATACACTGTATGGCACAGAGAATTATACCCATTATCTTGCAATAACCTATAATAGGGGCAAAATCTGCAAAAATATTGAGTAGTCATGCTATACATCTGAAACTAACACAATATTATAGATCAATCATAATTCAATTAAAAAAAGAAGAAAAGAAGTTGTAGTTAACTTCACTATACACAGTAGCCTAAAGTTGAAAACAATCCAGTGCCCATCAACTGGTGAAGGGACAAACAAAATGTGGTTTTGGAACAGTGTTCAGCAATAAAAAAGTAACAAAGTATTGCGCATGACACAATACGTAAAAATCTCAGAAACATGCTAAGTGTGAGAAGCCACACAAAAGAAAACCCTTGTTGTATGATTCCAACTACATGAAAGGACCTGAAAGGGCAAATCTATAAAGTTAATCAGAGGTCGCCTGGGACCGGAAGTGGAACCAGGGAATAATTATAACCGAGCAGGAGATGGTGATGGAAATGATCTCAAACTGGATCGTGGTAATGGTTGTACAACTCTGCATACATACTAAAAAAACACTGAAATGCACACTTGAAACAGTTAAATTTTATTGGAGGCTAGCTTTTTTAAAGATCAAGAAAAAGATCAGTAAAAGATTATTAAGAGAAAAAAGTTTCCAACCTTTCCACTGAGGGTCCAGTCATCTGAAAATTCCCCCTCATAGATAGTATCATCTTCAGAAAGTAAAACCCCATTTCCCTATGTGAAGAAACAAAACAAAAATCACAACACTTAAAACATGCAGCAACTTAGGGTATCTGTAGCCACATCCTCCAAAGCCGTACACAGTCTTAAAAAAAAGATAAAAAAATTGTATTAGGGAAGGTGGAACATTAATAAAAAGATGACTTAAAAATTAAGGACTAGGAGTTTTAAAAAGTCAACCGTAACTATATGCAAAACATTCCACTCACCATCATTTTATTAAGATGGAAGTTGCCTTCATAGTATAAACCAAACTGGGTAACTACTACACCATTGCCTTGGCATACATCATCTTGCCACAGTCCCATATACTTCTCCCCTCTGCAGAGAAATAGAAAAAAAAATTAAAAATAGAAATTAAACAAAAGAAGTTTAAAAATCAATGATGATAAGGATGAGGCAGGGAAAAAACAGTGATCACATGGAAGATACCAAGCATCAGCCCTAGGTTAGTATCTGTCCCATTTCACTAATTAAAGTGTCAACACTATTTCCTCCAACATGGGACAATGTAACTGCAAAACACATCCCACTCTGAGCACTGTCCTCTCAGGACCTGGTGGCTCAGATGATAAAGAATCCGCCTGCAACACGGGAGATCTGGGTTCAAACCCTGGGTTGGGAAGATCCCCTGGAGAAGGGAATGGCTACCCACTCCTGTTTTCTGACCTGGAAAATTCCACAGACAGAGAAGCATGGCGGGCTACAGTCCATGGGGTTGCAAAGAGTTGGACACAACCGAGTGATTAACACACATATACTATCAGACATAGATCTGTATATACTTTCAGGGTTTCCTTGAAAAATTGTAAAATATTTCATTAATGCCAAGAATTCAACTAGAAACAATGTCATTCAAAAGGTGAACTTAAACCTATGCACAATTTTGCTTAACCAAAGTTTACTGACTTAAATGGGGCTTATCAAAAAAGCAGGCTCATTCTTCCACCTACTCAAACTCAGAGAAATCTTACTAATCTCCACTAAAAAAATCAAGTGAGTACAAACTACCTGTTAAATAGCTGCGGATTTTAGTAACTACAGCAAAATTTTCAGTCCCACATTATGACAATGACATGTGTGTGCTACGTTGCTTCAGTCGTGTCCAACTCTGTGCGCCCCTACGGACTGTAGCTCACCAGGCTCCTCTGTCCATGGGATTCTCCAGACAAGAATACTGGAGTGGGTTGCCATGCCCTCCTCCAGGGGACCTTCCCAGCCCAGGGATCAAACCCACGTCTTTTATGTCTCCTGCACTCGCAGGCGGGTTCTTTACCACCAGCAACACCTGGGAAGCCCCAACAATAACATGAGGGAGAGATTATACATTCAGTCTAAAGGCAAATCAGGCCGCGCCAAATACAGAGGCAAAAAACTATATTCCTCCCCAAAGTTTAGTTCATTGAATTTAACCAAGTTTTATTCCTGGTGGCTGGCATGGTAACAAGTCAGAGGCTTGACAGGAACAGCTACATAGAAAGGTGTTTAGATACTACTTTATAATCCCAAAAGGGAATTTTCACTGATCTTCCTAACTTTTTATTCCTATTATCTACTGACTGCATTAAAGGTTTTTCTTTATATAATAGTCATAAATTTGGTAGCCCCTTTGAGACATGAAAAGCTTTGTACGGGTGAAGCTTTAAGGAAAATCATACCAATGTTAATTTTGAATGATCCAGATCTTGTATAGAAGTAACCTGTTGTCTGGTTCACAACCAAATGAATAAAATGATACCTGATAACTCTATTTTCTTATTAAAAATGTTCTCAGTATTGTCCAATTAATACACTTAGCTTTCATAAAATCATCTTTTTTTAGAGACATGTAGGAACCTTATCCCCTCAACTAAACAGAGAGCAGAAGCATAATACTGTACCTTGTGATATCATCAAAGACGCCGTATCCTGCTTTCTTATCCATTACCCACTGGCCAATGAACATACTGGGAGAAGAGGAAGTCAGCTTTCCGCTTCGCAGGAGACCATGACCATGACGCATATTATCTTGAAAACAGCCTTCAAACACTTCACCAGAGGCATAACTGTGGTTAGAAAGAATGGATAAAGATCACAAGCATACTGAATTCTGATGCTCATTTTTACAAAGTTTAGGAAATTCAAAATTATACTCATGTCTCACTGGTAGCTCTATTTATTTATATGACTATTTTTCACCAGTCAAATATCTCATTTTTGAAAGACTGGGTTTAAGAAGTTGAAGGTGTTATGGGGGGAATTTTATGTTAACATGAGGGAAAATGTGTCCCTTATGGGAAAATGAAATAATGAGTGATCTCTGAAAGAATGACAGGTTTTATCCATACTAGAGCTATGCAGTAAATATCAGATAAATTCACAAGCAAGATATCTAGGAGATTCTATGAAAAAGTTATGGTTTACAATGATTTTACAGTTTTAAGAACTATATAATAAGCTAATATCTTCATCCTGTGATAGACGAGAGGTTGATATTTAAAAGAAGAGTCAACACATTTTCATTTAGGGATAAGTAAAATTTACTGCATGGAAACAGAAAATTCAGGTTTACATGATTTTTTTTCTTTTAAATTTAATTGGAAGATAATGGCTTCAGAATATTGTATTGACTTCTGCCATACAACAATGTAACTCAGCCCTAAGTATACACATGCCCCTCTCTCCTGAATCTCGTTCCCACCTCCACCCCATCCCGCCGCTCAGGTTGTCACAGTACCGCTGCGAGCGCCCTGTGTCAAACAGCGACTTCTCATTAGCAACCAGTCAGCAACCTTTCCAATGCTCTTACCTATAGACTCCTTGACCACACATCTTTCCTTCTTTCCAATGGCCTACATAGTGGTCTTCCTTGTTCAATGCTTTGTTTGGGATTCTATATTCTCCATATCTGCCAAGGAAAGTAAAAACATTTTAAGATGCATGTATGACATACTCACTTTTGGTATGAATATATTGGTAAATATAACAAGAACAGAGAAAAGATCTACCTAGAAGAGTAAATGGGTTATTGGTTTATGTGGTTACTTATTACCTAAGCTATTTGGCAAGTCTTAAGAGGAATGGGACATCAACATCATTACAGAGTAATTAGGTGTTTTATCCCAAGTCCAGTGAAAAACAGAAAATCTGTGTCCTAGGCCTATTTTTGCCCCCAATTAGCTGCATCACCTTGGGTAAATCTAGGTACCCAGCTCCCTCATCTGTGCAACAAGGCAGGTAAATCAAGAGTATCTCAAGTCTCTTCTCATTCTGAAATTCTATGAAACAGAGATTAAAAGACACCAAAATTTATATTATCACACACACAAAAATCACCTACCCAATTTATATAATAATCTTTTTATATAGTAAAATAAAATTAGTTCTCTAACATGAAACAAAACACTTCACTGCCATACATTTATCATGTAAACATATTTATAGTGTTAGAAAACATGACTTGTTTATATAAAAATAACATCATTTGAATATCATTAAGATAAACATCATTTAGAAGATTTCCCCTTCAACAGATCACAGAAATTAAAGATGAATTAAAATTATTGAAGGGAAAATTTCTCTATGTCCTTTGTGTAAAGGGGGCACTTGATCTCAACAGTCTCAACATCAATATTACCCAAGGTTCTCAGTTCTTACAACTGAGAAATGGATAGAAAAAATAGTCCTATGTCAACAGATAGAAGCTGTGTAATTTAAGGTCATCAACTGTCAAAGCAAATGATTCATTCTAGGTAAAACAAGGCTGCAGCCTGGATTCCAAGCTCTCTTCATGTTCATACCTGTGCATGGTAAGTCCTAATTCATTTCCAAAAACATAAAATTCTACTGTCTTGAAAATAACTGTGAGCGCAAAATAACACACTTTAAGACACTTACGTTCACAATGTACTTACCCATCTTCCAAGCCATTCCTGAACATGCCAGAATACATCTTTCCATCTGGCCACTTTAAAACCCCTCTGGAAATGCATAAGCAAAGAATAACATGTGTCAATTAAAGTTTCCGAAAATCAGTACTTTTTCAGTAGCTGGACTACCATCCTGACTCCAGACATAAATCAAATCATGAACAGGCTAACCTGCCGTGAGGCTTCCCTGAAAGCCAGCGTCCATCATAGGTTGCATCCTTTAGGCGAGGATCCTTGTAGAAAGTGTATTTGGCACTGCGTGAAATTGGTGGTTCCTGCCTCTGAATACTGCTGCCACTTCCATAAGGTGGAAGATCAGACATCCCCCTCAAAGCCTGATCCACAGCTTGGCTTATAGCCCGGAGCCACTTTGTCTAAGAGCAAAAAGTACATGCCAGCAAGCTTAAAGCAACAGCTCATCAAGCATTGCTTTACATCTTGATAGCTTTCCTTAGTGTGGAAATTTCATCTGACTCCTAACACTCTCTTTATTGAGTAACACTGATTGGCTCTTAAAATTCATTGCTTTATATTTTAAATTGTTACATTAAAACAACAACAAAAATCTATTAATTCTGGTTTAAAGAAGATTTATCAGACATAATTATGGATCATTAAGCAAGCAAGAACAATTTGTATTTCTTCCTCACTACCGTAAAAGACAGAAACAGCCAGGCCAAAGATGTAAAGAAAATACCATAAGACTAACCTTTTCCTGGGGTGTTGATGAAATGAGAGTGAACTGCTCCTCGGGTGTAGTTATCTTTAGGCCATTCCTAAAATGTGCACAAGGATAAAGGCCAGCAGGTATGACAACCTGTCGTTATAACATCAATCCTCAAATATGAAAAACAACTTGTTTATTTCAAGAGGATCAGAAGTCAATTAGATATAAATGCAGTCCTGCCCTGGGTTTGGTTCCCATAGTGGGAAAAGGACACAGTTTCTTTGCTCTGGGTTAAACAATGGGGATGTAAGCAGTGGAGAAGCCCTTCCAACACTCTTCACGTTGGCTCTGTCATGATCTTCCCTCTAGGCCACTTACTATCTATGTGTTGGGATGGTGAGTACTCTTGTACACAATAGGGAGGCCTCTTGAGCTTTTATTTGTCTAAAGAAGCAACCTGGGTAAATAACACAAGAAGGGAATGAGGTAGGAGGGACACTTACACACCACCAGTTTCTTCAGAAAGTGGCTCAGCCCACAGTGTGGCCAAAGGGAAAACATGGTGTGTGGAGAACTGAAACAAAGAACATGGACACACGTCTGAGAAAGCCCATGTGGGCCCTGAAGTTGCTGCTGCAGAACCCCTTTCAAGTGGTTAAGTCCACCTCAGCCACATCCCCATAACACAGCTAACCCCAGTGGTCTCGCCATGTTTGTGGCTAGGACCCCTTCACATGGCTGACACTCATTTTCAATTTGGAAACTAAAAGAGCTCCTGGAAGTCTAGCCGGTGCCACCAAGCAAGCTAAACATTCTCTTTCTCTCAAGTGTTTCAGGAAAATCACAACAGTGTGTAAAATAAACTGAGGGTATGATTAATTACTCATAGTACCGCCCCTCCCATGGCCTCTTTTGAGGTGGGGAATCTAGCCTACCTGGGCATGGACTAGGGCATCATTAAAGAGAATGAACCAGTTCACAGAAAACCTCCCCGCATGCTGCAGGGACAGGGCCCGGTTGCTGCTCTCACACAGCAACCGACGCTCGGGCTTCCGCAAGGAGTCCTGGGATTGAAAACAAAAAGAAAATCAAAGTATCAAAATTATTTTATGCAAGGAGAAAAAGAAAAAATATAAAAATCACATTTAGGAGAATTTGTTGGTCATAGCTTAGCTTGGTATTAATAAACTTAAATTCAGATGGGACCCAAACATTTCATAACAGCAGATCTCCAAGGAAAATAAAAAAAGACCGGAAAGTGGCTCAGTTGGTAAATCTGCCTGCTATGCAGGAAACCCGAGTTCGATCCCTGGGTCAGGAAGATCCCCTAGAGAAGGAAATGGCAACCCACTCCAATACTCTTGCCTGGAGAATTTCACAGAGGAGTCAGGTACGCTACAGTCATGGGATTGCAAGAGCTGGACACGACCATGCAACTAACTTTCACTTTCACTTTCAGGAGCAAACAAACAGAAGAAGAGACATATTCAGAAAAGATTCCCAGCAATGAGGGAAGGTGCTGATACCCAGAACCCCCATGGCTGTGGTCCTTAGATCACCCTTAGAAAAGGGGTCACTATAGCACCATTACCGTAAACAAGTGAGGAGTCAAGAAAATTATGGCAGCTATTACAGCTATGCCTGTTGTCTGTGGGGTAATGACCATTGGCATGGTTTACCGTCATTTTTCCAGGAAAGGTCTTCCAGAAACTCAATGTGTATTCTGCTTCCTTCCTTTTTCTGCCGAGATGGAGAGCAAGTGACTCATAACAAGAGCTGGAATCCTGCAGCTTCTGGTATTCTGGAGATGTCTAGAGGCCAATAATTAAGAGGTGGGGGGAAAGGATATATAACAATTGTCCAGAATTTGTAGACTCATTGTGGTTTAGATATATAGTAATAAACTTAGGGAAGGAAGCCAGCCTAAGAAAAGACATGGTACACTAAAGGGAACTGAGAAAAAAAAGAAGACTGTCTCTAGAAAATTCTACCACATACAGTTACACATGTATCATATACAGGTACGTATGAAATGGGGGAAGCACTCAAGAGGGAAAAGAAACAAACACTGGCAGTTATCAGTAAAGAGAAAAGCAGAGAACTCAGGATAGGAGAGGAATTATCAATGGTTTTGGTCTCAGGATCCCTCTATTTTGCTTCTGTGGGCTATAATCTCTTGATATTTACCATATCGGAAAATAAAGTTGAAAATTTTTTAAATCTTTATTAATTCAAATATAACAACAATTTTTAATTAAAATTAAAATTTCAAAACAAAAAAATGTTTCATATGAAAAGTGGCATTGTTCCACATTTTTTCAAATCTCTTTATTATCTGAGTTAAAAGATGACAGCTGGATTTTCATATCTGCCACTGTATTTAATCTGTTGAGATTGTTTAGTTCAAACAAATGAAGAAAATCTTCCAACTTGCTACAGTTGGAAATACAGCTGAAATTAGATCAGTTTGGGCTAACACCGAAACCAGACAAAAGAACACACCTACAAGGCCAGGTAGGATCAAACATAAAAAGGTCACATAAATTCCTAGATCATTCTGAAGACATCTGTCCTAAATAAGGATCCCAAGATATAAAAAATTCTAAACAGTAAGAAACCCTAGAATCATTATGGTTTCTCTAGAGCCTTTTGGAATGGAAACGAAAACAACACATTTCAGTACAATTTCAAAAGTAACTGTCCCAGCTTTAATATATGCTAGAGTGATGCAAATTTTCTAGGACTCCACCTAACTAGTTTTATACAGAAAGTGATCTAGTTGACATTTGAGAAAACCCTGTAACACTGCTGATTTTTCACAGCATATGTCAAAGTGACCCAAATACCTGGCATGAAGTCTACCATGAATCCAGGCCAGGTGCTAACGCCACACCTTAGAAGGGTGTGTCATCATAGGCAGGGTTTTAACAGCTCTGTTTAACTTGTAGCTTGTGCTCAGTATGTACTCAAAGTTGGACAACTACTGAATGAGTAGCAAAACTGGGTCTCAGCTTTAGACTGACATAAAATGAATAAAGTGAATCTTGTCAAGGCCCTGAAAGGAAATTGAATCCATAGCAAAGAACACTAGATAAACCTACAGTCATACTCTTCTTTCATTTCCCTGAAGAAAAATAAATTTAGTGGCGTTCCAGATCTTGGGGTAGAATAATTCAAACAAACAACTATGATCCTTGGCTTCCCAAGTGTCCACAAGAGGTATATATGTGAGCTTACCACTTCAAAACAGGTAGCAAGTTTTAGCAAAACTTTTGCATAACTATGAAGTCGTCTGATTGGCAAGAAAAACAGAGTATTCAAAATTTCCATCAACTGGGTGTTTTCATCATCCACTTCTGATAAATCTTGCAACAGCTCCTGGTTTTTATTTAGGAAATCACTGAAGGTAGAGAAAAAAAGGGATTCAGTTAATCATTTTGATACTGACAATATGCATGATATTAAACAAGTATTTCGCCACATACTCCTTTCTTCAAAATGTACATTTTTAGGTGCTATGGAAGAAAGTAACAGATGATTAATACAATGAAATAAACATGATGTAATTAAAACAATTTCCCTACCTATAAATATGGGATTTTTGAGTATAAAAAGTAGTAAATGGGAGGAACAGTAATAGATACACTGTATCTATTAGAACTGTATCTAATAGAACACTGTAATAGATACGGTGAATCACAGACTTGTGCCTAAAGTTCTAGGAAATGAATCATACATCCCACAGTTACAGGAAATAATTGGAGACAAGCTGACACAGTTACCTGTTCATTTCCAAGTAGGAAGTCACAATAATAAGTGGCAAAACCAACTGTTCAAATCACTTGTGCTAAACATAAGTACTGGAAGAAAAACAAAGTTCTCTGCTCTAACAAAATTGGCATGGAATACTAAATACTGCTAATTTCTTTTTTTTCAATTTGTGATCATCTAATATTAAAAGGTATAGACGCCAGCACTACAATTAACAGCGAACAGTAAAGCAAATTATATGTGTGGATTTTAAAATCACTGAGATTATTGAAAAAACATTTCAAACTGAGACCAATATTCACTTATCACATTCAATTATGAAGTGAAGTGAAGTGAAAGCCGCTCAGTCGTGTCTGACTCTTTGTGACCTCATGGACTATATAGTCCTTGGAATTCTCCAGGCCAAAATACTGGAGTGGGTAGCCTTTCCCTTCTCCAAGGGATCTTCCCAACCCAGGGATCAACCCCAGGTCTTCTGCATTGCAGGCAAATTCTTTACCATCTGGGCTTCTAAGTTTAGGCTTCCCAAGTGGCGCTAGTGATAAAAAATCCTCCTGCCAATACAGTAGACTCAAAAGATGTGGGTTTGATCTCTGGATCGGGAAGATCCCTTGGAATAGGAAATAGCAACCCGCTCTAGTAGTCTTGCCTGGAAAATCTCATGAACAGAGGAGCCTGGCGGGTTACAGCCCATGGGGCCACAAAGAGCTGGACACAACTGAGCAACTGAGCACACACATATATAAGTTCATGATTAAAACTTTACTGCGGATTTTAAGGCTGACCGGTAACCCATTGAGATTATCCACACCACACTAAAACACTTAAAAGATCTGTAAAGAAGTAAGAGGGTTCTTCTTTTGTGGCTCAGCTGGTAAGAATCTGCCTGCAAAGCAGGAGACTTGGGTTTGATCCCTGGGTTGGGAAGATCCCCCCGGAGAAGGGAAAGGCTACCCACTCCAGTATTCTGGCCTGGAGAACTGCATGGACTGTATAGTTCATGAGTCGGTAGAACAGAATAATCATCATCATCTGCCACTTAATGAACCATAATTATGTTCCAAGTACTGCCCTCACTGCTTTGTAAGCACGATACTACAACTCTTAGCTAGAACGCTTCAAAAACAAAACAAGGTCACACAAGACTATAAAACAAAAATGAGATTTTTATAATCCCTTAGAGAACTATGGAATAAAGAGATGCTTAACTCAGAAATTACAAAATATTATCTTGGAAAGATGGAGAAATATGTAATAATTTCCAGGAACCCGTAAGTTCAATGTCACAAAGTGGACTGCTGTATAATGTAATTAAGAGATCTTGGAGAGTGTGCTGCAGGGAACATGGCCTAGATTTTTGTTTATATTTGGCGTGTTGAGTGGTCCTACTTACTCCTCCATGTTCTGCTGGGGGAACTTGTTTAACCCTACAGAAGTATTCTGCTTTGACCAGCTCCTGAGAGATGGAGGTGGTACATGGTGAACACATACTCCCTCTGCCCACATTTCTCCTGGATGCCCAGTACTAGACCAGGAATATTCCAACTCTTGTGAACCCTATTATTTTTCTGGACTCACTGAAGTACTTGCCTATAAATTTTCCCAAAAGGAGCCCTAGTATGCTCTCAGAAATCCTCAACTACTCTGTTTAGCATATTTTCTCTTGGGAGTTTTTAATCCAATAGTGGCAATATTGCTCTTTCTTTATATGGCTAGGTTTGCACTTGTTACCCAAAAAATATATTAAAGGTAGAAAGAACAGAAGTGTCCGTCAACAGATGAATGGACAATCAAAATGTGGTATATTCCTAAAATGGAATATTATTCAGATACACAATGAGATGAAATCTTGACATATGGTATCACATGGATGGACTTTGAAAACATCATGCTTAGGGAGATAAGTCAGACATAGAAAGACAACTACTGTATGATTCCACTTATGTGAGGTACCTAGAGCAGGGAAATTCAGAGAGACAGGAAATAGAATAGAGGTTACCAGGGGCTGGTGGAGGAGGGGAAGTCATTTTTAATGGGCACAGAATTTTTGTTGGGGATGATAAAAAGTTTTGTGTATAGATAGTGGCTTATACAACATGTGAATGTACCTGATGCCACAAAACTGTACCCTTAGGAATGGTTAAAATTATAAATATTATGTATATTTTACTACAATATTTAAAAAAAAAACTTCATGAAGATCAAACCACCATGTTAGTCTGAGGTGAGTGTCTAAGTGATAAACCAGCTGAGTGAGGAAAATGTGGGCAGGTTCACTACCTGCCTGTGGGCCCAACTAGTTATGATCTAGAGATTCTCAAATGGTTCTTTTTAAATGAATATCTTAAAATTCTCATCTTGTAAACAGAAGTTAAAAAAGAAGTTATTACTGCCTTTAACTAGGTAAAACCATGGGATTCATGAACCACCACTTCTGAAAGGCTGCCCAAATCCAAATTTAACATCTGCTGCCATAGCTCAGAGTCACCCAGAGTTCATTAATTGCTTTCTACCCATCCAGGCTCTAGGAAGAGGCTTTCACTTATGTTATGGTGAACTTGACTCTGAAATACTAGCTTTTCCTAGGCACTCAAAAACACAGACTGCTATAAAACAGGTTCTTTTTAGAATAACTGGAAACTATGTATTTGCTTACATGGCAGGTTTAGCAAGAAGCTGGAATCCTCCCATAACCAGGAAATTTGTAATAGATGTGCAATACCTTGAACAAAAAAGAAAACACACAGATATTAGTGTAAAAGTAAATCTGCTCTTCAGAGTTTTGAACAAGCATCTGTAATTAGATACCTCTTGGTATCTAATGAGTTTCACTTCAGAACTTTGTGATGTTAACAATCATGAACTAAGTAGGGCACGTTATGTGATCATCACAACAGTAAGGAGTAAAAGGCCATTTTAGTAAAGATGTTAATAGGAATTTTTTAAAAAACACTTCAAGCTATGCAGAAGATGCTAGAATTTATTTGGTATGTTTTACTTTGGTAATTTAACAAATGTGAGAAAATACGATTTAAGTTGTTGGATTTTAAAAAAATTCTAATCTTCACTTTAAGTTTTCCATTTAAGTCTTCAGAAATAAACAATAGGGAAGGTAGGAATATATGTTTAAAAGAGCTTAAGCGAAAAAGTGTTAGAAACTGTTGGTAAAGTACTGATTTACAGTTAAAGAGGAAGTCGTGACATACATTTCTTCCACACTTCTTGGCTGGCAAATAAAATCAACTGACTCTGACAAAGAAGGCAAATTCCTACTAAAAACACCCCAAGGTACTGAACACTTAAAAACAGTTACAATGGTAAATTTTATGTTATGTGTATTTTACCACAATTAAAAATAACTTTTAAAATTCACATACAAATCAAGTTTTTTACCTGCCCAGTCTATATGAATACATTTAAAAAACCCAAGGACTCAAAATAAAAGCATGTCCAAGCATAAGTCCTGAAGTATTATAGCAGAAAAAGAAAAATACACATAAGATCTATACAAGTCAAAAAAGAAAAATTAATACCAGTAAAAGCTGAAACCTTCACACATATAAAAATCTAGTTTAAAAAAGTAAATTCATATCAAATTATGCTCCTTTTTATGTCTGAAAGAAGATGAGTTAGAAGACTAGCAAGGGTATTTCCTCCCAGACAACAGCCAACAGCTTCAGATATATTCAGTTTTGTTTAAAACTAAAATGACATACATCCATCTGCACATTTATGCCTAAGTCTGTAAAGAAATACACTATTAACAATGGCTGTTTCTGATAGTAGCGTTATGAGTGACTTTAAAATCAATACTTCAGATCAATAGCATAACCTAATACACATTAAAGTAACACTTAAATTATGCCTCACATCACAATGCCAAAATGAAAATGCAAAATGCTAAAGAAAACGTGAGAAATACTGAATATTTCAAATACAGTTGGGATATTTTACTTGAAAAATATGAAAAGAACCTTGGATCACTATCCTAGGTTTTATTACAAAAAGATCTTTATTTTTAAACCCTCCTTTACACAACAGTGAAAAGCAGGCATTGGAAGAGCTCCATATTTACAATCATTAGTTGATCTTAAAATGGTGTTTACTTATTTCTTCAAATTTTAGTATAATTTATTTAAGTACAAAACTGTTCTCTAAAGAACCATCTTTATTATAGTACATTTTGTAAATTAAGGATACTATCATTCTGCTAGAATGCAGAAGGAAATTTGAGAATGCATTATTTTTTTTTTAAATTTTCCCCTCTTAGAGCAAACTAAAATTGTAGTGATGTGGAGCTATATAGTTGTCTTAAGATTAAAGCACTGCTTTGCAATTTCTATTACCTTATAGAACTCTCCCTAATCTAGTCTCTTCTGATTAAGGAGCTGTTCTCCTTGGCAGAATAACCCTGCAGAGACTGAACATGACACGGACTGGATACTTGCTCTGTATAACTATCCAAGAAGAGACTTGCATGCTTCAGGATGACCAAACTCCTGGCTTCCTTTATCCCCTGAAGGAAGCTGCTCAGTGAGGTTCCATGCTGACCAATTAGGTAACACAGCTTGCTGAATCGGCTTGCCACTTCCTGCAACAGCTGGACTGTATTTGCAGTGCCCAGATTTTCTGGAACAAAACGATGATGATGATAACATAACCTAAAGACTCATTATATAAATACTTTCTTATGATCAAGATTATGAATTTTCCTTTACTAAAAATTCTTAACATGTTGAAATGGACTCTCAACTATGGAACCCAAATAATCACAGTGCTTAAAATGCAGAGATTAGTGTCCAGTCATTTCAAGAACTTCTTAAAAACACATTCATGGAACCCCTACAGATTCTGACTCAGCAGACCAGAGTTTAGACACCAAGATGGATTTTTTTTTTTTTAAGTGCTTTCCAGGTAATTCTGAAGACCAGCCAATATTTGATAACCACTGTGGTAATCCAACTCTCTTCTCATCTTGAAGCCAAATCTTCTAAGGCCAACGGAAAGGAAGTGAAATATCTACCTTTACACAACTGGTTAGTAGCAGCCAGGAATTAAACTCACTTCTATAGCTATACCTTTGTCAACATTTCCCACTTTTACACTGACTTCAGTTCTGCTTGCCCCCTGGATATGCCCTGCCCTTCCATGCTAAGAAAAAGATTCCAAAAAGGTTGCCTTTGATCAAGATAGTCTAAGATGGACTTAGACTGCCTTGGTTACTCTTTAACTTTATAAAGCACATCAGATTACTCCTTTTTCCCAGTCCAAAACACCCAATTTGCAGGACTTCTCTCTAAGCAGTGAGGCTGATAAGCAGACCACATGAAACCAATATAGAAATCAGGACTCATAATAGGAAAAGGACAGGTTTCACTTTCCTTTCAGAGCAATCCAGGAAGCTTCCAGCTTGGACTGCTTCCTATCTCTTGCCAAAGTACTAGGGAGCTGGGCCTACCCACTGGAGGAGAATTTATAGAACAGGAACTCTACAACATTTAAAAAAGCAAAACATGTTAAAAACAAAAACAAATGCTGTCTCCAGCTTATGTAGGGACTGAATTCAGAAAGACTGTAAGTTAGTTGTTTGAAAAAGAGATATTTTCCCATTAAAAACAATGGACTGACCTACACAAGCCAATGTCACCCTAATGTGGAAAAATGATGCATGAATAGAGCACAATTTAAGTACTAGAGTACTGGTCTGAATTCTGTGGCCTCACAGGGGGTCAAGGAGTTCAGGTGAATGAAAGAGAAAAAAGGTCCTTTCCATTTTCTGAGAGTAGGGTCAAACCTACAAAAGCTTTTGACTAGGGGAAGTTAATCTTTAATAGCCCACCTGCTCATCTCCATTCTGTGTTCATTTACCTCCTGGAGACCCCAATATTGTATTTCTAGACAGCAGGACCCCATCGAGGACCACTGTAATCTACTTTCTCCATATTATCTCCTTACCTTCAATCCCTGTTGTCACTGATTACAGCTAAGAGATAAGATTTAATCAATTTCTGCTAATGTTGGGGATAAGATCCTTAATGCTCTTACAGTTATTCACATTTTGAGATACTACTTGTAAATCCAAATGAAGTTCTACTTGATAAAATTCTAAGAAGCAGAACAAAGAAAATGAAAATTTGGAGTAGTATATAAGCTATCTTGGGGCTTGCCTGGTGGCCTAGATGGTAAAGAATCTGCCTGCAATGCAGGAGACCCGGGTTTGACCTCTGGGACCAGAAGATCCCCTGGAGAAGTGAATGGCAACCCATTCCAGTATTCTTGCCTGGAGAATTCCAAGGAGAGAGGAGCCCGGCGGGTTATAGTCCAAGGGGGCCTCAAAGAGTTGGACATGACTGAGTGACTAACACTTTCACTTTACACTTTTAAGGTATCTTAGAACTAATGCGGCTAGAAGTGTTGTTTAGAAGTCTGACTCCTAGGATCAACTGTTCCACAGTTGCTCTACTTCTCTGCCACAGGTCTTATGAAAGCTCTGTGTTTCTACTTCCATAAGTAACAGGACCTCTGGGGGTGCCAGGATAGGGGAGCTGGGCTATCAGCAAAGACGAAATGGCTTGTAAGCTGTTGACCACCTGGGCACAAAAAGAAGAGACTGGAAAGAAAGGAGCAGAGTTCCTTTCAACCCAAACAAAAAGTTTTCTTTATTTGTGATACAGGAAAAAGAGGTAAAACAAGACTCTTGATAACTGACTGGCTGGAAGAGTGGAGGGGGAAGTTCTACTTACCTAAGCCAAGAAGAGGCCTGAGAATCTGGGACTTGATATCACTTAGTTTTGAATAGAAGCGTCTTTCAGTAGTAGCCAACTCATGGAGACTGGCAATATATCCCATAATGTTTTTGTCCACCAAGGCTAGATAACTGTCTTTTCCTGCTGTCACTCTGCTTATATACCCAAGCTAAAACAGAAGAAAGAGATTGAAGATAAAATCTAATTTACTAGCAGTAATTTGGGCACTGGTGAGAGCCAACAGCTAACTACATAGGAATTCTGCAGCAAGTTGGTTATTAAATCATTAGTAGTTTGAAAGTGGCAATACTGAAATTTACAAAAAAAAAAAAACCACAAAACTGGAAAACATTACAAATCGGAACTTTTGAGTTTACTTTGATGTTTAGGACTGGTTTACCAGTATACTGTTGTTATATATATATAACACAATCTATATATAACTATAAACATCTATACTATTATATATTGCCATAATACCTTTTATTTCACTTTACACAGTTAGAACCACAAATACTCTAAATATACAAAGATCCAAATGATACAAACACATGTCTCAGGACTTCTTTTTGCATGAAACAGATGAGAGCAGAGACCATTTCTATGCTGTATGTCAAAATATCAAGGATCTAGGAGTTATATTTTAAAGGTACAATAGAAAGGGATTTTCTTTAAAAGTGGACTTTGTCACTTATTCATGATGGCACTGAAAAAAAACATTTGATGTCTTTGTCACACATCCCTATTAAACTAGGCAATCAAGCTGCAGGCTCAATACACTATTAAGAGCCCATGGTAACTAAAGACACAGACTGAGCCTCATCTCTTTCACCGGCCCATTTCATCCTTTACCTGGACTGTGGAATCTTTAATGAGGAATGTGGAGTCAGGGCCAAGAACTACAAAGAGTCAATTAGTATGTCTGGAATAACAGGCTATATACAGGTCAAGAGTCAAATCTTGGCCAGTGTTACCTTTAGCAAGAAAGATCTTGCCCTTATATACAGCCACAATTACATATTTAGCCAGAAAAACAAAGGATTAAAAAAAAACAAAACAGTCCATAGGATATATTATTCAGTAAGAATAAAAAACCCAGAATGCACAAGCTTTGAAGGTTAATTTCCTTGCAATGTTGTGAGGAAAAAGAAAACCAGAAACAGACCAATGGTATTAAGTTTAAGAAAAAGAGGTAAGTAGTAGGAAAGCAAATAAATTCAGATCAACAAAGGAAAAATAAGCTACAGTAGTAAACAAAAGAAAAAGCTGAGAGACGATGGTAACAGATGGGAAACAGCACTGTTGGTGGCCTGTCAGATCTGCCACAAGCCCACCTCAGGCCCCTGCAATTTTCACTTTCTACTAACAGTTAAATATTCATTATTCAACTTCTATTCTGATTCATTTCTGAGGACTCCATAAACACAGTCAGAAAACTTTGCTGTGAAATAAGTATTTTTAATATTCCTATGTGAGGGTGTTATATCAATAATTATTTATAAAAGTATTTACTTCAACAAATATTTATGAAAGGTATTTATAAAAGAGGATACAGCTGTAAATGAGAGAGCTTAAAATCCCTACTCTAATGAATTTTACAGTTAAGGAGGACAGACAATAAACAAAGTAAGTAAACTCTATAGAGGGTGAGATGATGATATGCAATGTAGAGAGAAATAAAGCAGGAAAAGGAGATGAGGAGTGAAGGGGGATGGGAAGTGGTTTGCAATTTTAAATACATTAGTCAGGGACACTTAGTATTAGGCATACATACAAACAGCAACAGAAACAAAAGACTCCTCATGTGTTACGGGATGTGGGCTTTAGGATCTAATTCCTGTTCACCTTACTACAGGAGAGAAGGACTGGCATCTTAGTACCACTGTGATTCTCTGGAAGGCTGTCATCTTCCGTTGGGTCCTGCCGGCCACTGTAACATAACCCAGGCTGGAAGTCTTCGGTATCCACTAAAAACAGGGAATAATCCTGGCCTGCAGCCACACTCCAGACTCCATTTTCACTGTTCACCTGCAATGACAGGAAGACATGCCTGTCTGAGATGAAGGAATCAGATGCAACTACAAGTCCACAATAACTAGAATGTTAGGTTACCTGAACAAGTGGAATAAAAGTTAGTCACATCTTAGAGGGCAAGACTTACCCAGAAATGTACCCAGAAACGTACCCAATCAACTGAAGAACAGATGCAGCAGTGAAAAGGAACCCTGTTCAACCAGTAAATGTAGAACTGGATTGTTCTATAAAAAACTGAAAAACTGGAATTCAAAAAGAAAAAAACCATACATTTGATATTTTAATTGTTCTTTTTGGAAGCTGTCATAGGACTTAGCTTGTACTACAATCAAAGTCCCAGAAACTTGTAGAGTCCTATTCTGACAGCTAGGACACACCTTTGTCCATTCATATTCTGCTATGTACACAAAAATCAAGGTAAAAAGAAAACCTAACTAGGCTAAATTCCATTCTGGCCAACTAAACCCATGGGTGCTAAAACTGCTTTCTGACTTGGAACTCACTAACTCTCTCACATGACTTCACTGTGTCCCTGGATGCTGCAATAGGCAGAACCCCTTAGAAGCCCATCTACAGGGATCCCCTAGACCAATGGTGCTCAACAAGAAGCTTCTGCAGCAGCAGCAACAATCATCTAGGAACATGTGAGAAATGCAAACTCAGGCCCAGAGCCTTTGAAGGGAGGGACTGGGCGGTCAGCTTCAACAAGCGCTCCACGAGTTTCTGATATACGCAAAAGTCTGAGAACCACTGCTCCAAACCAATGGCTTCAGGTTTCCGGGATTCCAGGTAGTGATTCAGGAGCCACCATGGAAAGGCAGGTGCCCGGGTTCTATCCCCACCCACCTCCATCCTTCAACTAAGACAGTCCCACAGTTATCTGTTTTAGGTAGGGGATTCAGCACAAGGTTTCATCTGAAGGAAGTGATCTGCTATGAAAACTACTGCCCCATCCTGCAGACCCAGCTTCAGCCATGACTTGTGTAACAATAAAGCAAAAAATTTCTAATCTTGAGATTACGTGTCTAGATTTGGTTCACATCCTGGGCGATTAGGTGACAGTTTGTGAGTGACTATCACGCACATCTCCACTACTTTACAGTTATCCTCTTCAGGCATGACATTATCTTCTCAAATTCAGGTTATCTATAAAACTGACTTCCTGCTGGTTTTGCAAAGAATGAATTAAAATTTTTGCAGGAGGAAAGAGTCGTCTTCCTAGTTTCTAAACAAAACTAATTCAGGTCTTACTCTGACTTGATTTTAATTCACACATTAATTAAAATGACTTCAAAATAATTTTCTCAAATAAAAAATCAAAATAAAACCTCCCCCCAAATAAAGACCAAAATCATGATGCTGTATTTTCAGAGGTATAGGTAAAGAGTAATGAAACTAGAACATCATAACAAACTCTATTCTCTCTTGTCCGACTCTAAAATGTTAAATAAAAATTGTATTTCCAGCATCTCCATGCTGGATTATAAAACTTTTCTTAGTAGGAATATAAGAATGTTCTAATTTATTCAAATGAACAGAAAACAAGAAACAATGATTTACCATATTTTTATTTGTAATAAAATATCAGAAACTGAATTTGTTGTTCAGTTGCCAAGTCATGTCCAACTCCTCAGGACGCGCTATTCGAAACTGAATAGCTTACCACTAAAACATTTTATGCTAAAGATATTTAAGATTGGAGCTAGAAATAACAACTGTTCTGTAATGTTTCATTTAAGTCTTTCCTTGCCAGTAAAATTAGTTCACTGAAGGAAAGGCAACAGGTAAAGGTCTTATGTAGTGATGGATGCACAGTGTACACTGAATACATGAATCACTGGAACACGTATTAACCGTAGCTTATATTTTGAATCATGTTCCTGAAACTGAAGTAAACATCCCATTCTAGTCTCTAATACTCTCAGGGCAGAGAGCATGCATCAGGATGGAGAGGATTCAAACTACGAACACATGAGCCCCATATCCCATTCTCTTAGGCTACTGGGCTATCATCATGCCTACTCTGCCCACAACACATCCACTCCCCAAACAAACAGATCTTATATGAGGAGTCAATACTACTGATGAATTTTGCATTTCTGCAGAATGCTGTGACAGAAAAAAAAGGTTGAGAAACAGTCCTCTAAAACTGCACCCATTATATAAACTAAAACCAATTCATATAGCAGTAAAGAAATTATACTTTAAGCTTCCCTATAGAAAACAAAAAGGGTTACAAAAAGGTTTTACTACTGTGTACATAAAAACAAAACAAAACAAACGATCAAGTAGTATTATGTAAAAGTTACACTTAAAAAAAAGTCAAGCTTAGGTGAGAAGTCAGAGTAGGCCTTATGTGGTAGTATAAAACTTAGACGTCAACCTCACAGTACAAGGAACACTTGCTTTAAAATAACTTGTTCACTTTTACTTAAAAAAAAACCAGAACTATGAATACTTAGTGAAGTTAAGAAAAAAAGAAATATTAATACAAACTAACACATCAAAAATGGGAACATTTTGCCTGAAAACAAGCAGCTTCAGTTTTTTAAAAATTTTAATGTATGTGATAACAAATAGGTTACCAGTATGCAATTCTCCTAATTTTAAAAACCATGAATTGAAGAAATATGAAGTGTTATAACTTAGAATTCTGGAATAAGTTGCTATAAAAGTCATCAAGGTTACAATTACCTTTGCAAGACGGGGAACTGTTGTTGGAAAATCAGAATGCCCAAGTTGACCAAAGGTGTTGCTCCCCCATGAGTAAACCTATTAGAAAACCACAGGAAAGTAGGTAAGAGATGTGACACTGATTTTTGCATGCCAATTCTGAACTTTTATAATAACACATATATACCAACAGTTACACACAAATTTCTTATCCTAGTCTTCAACTCTTTAGAAAATTCATTTTAACTAACATTTCTCAGGAGTTTATTACCTGCCAGGCACTGTTCTTAATATACTTTCTGTGTATTAATTAATGTTTCACTATCACACAATCCTTCTTTTTTAACATATAAGGGAATTGGCCCAGAGAGGTCACAAATTTTCCAGGATTTAATCCCAGGAACTATCCTATACTGCCTCTTATAAAGAAAGTGATTTTTAAAAATAAAGCTAAGTACCATGAAGGAAAAAGGAATCACAATTCTTTATTCTGTGGACACAACTCCTGTCCACAGAATAAAGTCGTTCCTATGGAATGACTAGAAAGCTTTTCATTTATGAAGAATCACTGCAGGAGAAGCACAAAGCACCTATGCTCTACTAAAGACAAAAAAACAACCAGATTACAGTAACTATGCTTAATGCAAATGATTTTGTTTATTCTGATTATAAAAGCAATTCATAACCACCGTACAAGACTGTGACAATATAAAGCAACAAAAAGAAAGTGAAAACTACTAATGAACCACCACTCAGAGACAACTCCTACCGTGTTTTAGGAACATACACATATATAATTCCAGAAATTGTATTATCTACTATATATAATGAATATACAAAATGTAAAGTGTGAAGTGGGACTCTACTATCAATGCTGCTTTGTGACCTGATGTTTTTTATGTAATGCTCTGTGCACTGACATCTTTCTAGGTCAATAAGTATAGAGCTACAGTGTCATTTGTAACTATATGAAATTCCACTGTGGGTGTAGTTTAATCAATTACCTAATGAGGTAAGTATATTTATTAATAATTTCTTTCCAATTACTTAAGGTAAAAATTCATTAAAATTATATATATATGTGTGTGTATATATATATATACACACACATATATATATAAATGTATCTATTTCCTTAGGATAAATTCCTAAGCAAAGAACTTTGGGTCAATGAATATACACATTCTGATTTTTGCTATATACCAACAAGCTGTCTACCAGCAAAGTCCAATTTACATTCCCACCAGCAATGTGTATACCTTTTCCCCACATCCTCACCAACACTTAGCATTAAATGCAATCCCTGCTAATCTGATGGGTGAAAAAATTTTGTTTTAATTTAAATTTGCTCACTGAGTAGCTGACCATCTTTTGTTGCTGGCTACTTCTATTTTTTCTTCAGTGAATGGAATATAAATGCTCTTAAACAATTTTTCTTTATGGATCAGGTCATATATGTTACAATGTTTTTCCCCATATGTATCTTAAATTTGTTTGTGGGGTTTTTTGGTTTGTGTTTAGGTTTTTGCTGTGTGGGACTGTTGAATTATTATTGTAGACAAACATATATATCTTTACTTTCTAATTTCTGGTTTTGATGTCATATCTTTTTCTACTCCTAAGATTACTGAAAAAATATGTCACCTAAGTTTGTTCTTACATATGTAAAGTTTTATTTTTTAACATCTAGACCTTTACTCCATCCAGAATTAGAATATGTAAAGTTTTCTTAATTTTCTTCTGCAGATAAGAAGCCAGTGGTTCCAACAGTATTTACTGAACATTGTCTTGTTTCTCCACCTGATCTGAAATGCCTACTTTTTAAAATTTTTTATTTTTTAATTGAAGGATAACTGCTTTACAGAATTGTGTCGATTGCTGCCAAACACATGTACACCTGTGGCTGATTCAGAATGCTGAAATAAAAAAAAAAAAAAAAAAAGAATGCTGAAATGCCTACTTTTTATCACAGACTAAATTCTCATATATACTTGTGGCTATTTCTAGTCTATAGTGTATTTCTGTTATAATAATCTGTTTGTACTTTTGTAATATGTTTTATAAGGCTAATGCTTTCTTTTTCAGAATTTTTGTGGCTCACCTCCTTTGTTTATTCTCCTAGAATAATTTTGGCAATCATTTTATTAAGCTGTAAATATTATATTGGAATATTCTGGAGATAGTACTGAATTTACACTCTACTAATTTAATGATCTAAAAGAAATGGCATTTTGCAATGTTCAATCTTCTCATCTAAAAATAAAATTTTTCCCTCTTTACTATTCTCTTTTATAACTTAGAAGAGTTCTTGAATTTGTGTCATGTGGGCTCTACACTTTTCCTATTAACAATGTTCCTATTTCCTTAACACTTTTGTTGTAATTGTGAACAGCTTTTTTTTTCCTTAAGCATGCTTTCTGCTTTACTTTATGTGTTTAAGAAAGCTAGCAATTTTTACCTTTATTTTGTAACTTACCAACTTTCTATTTTCTTATTTTTAAGGCTTTTTGATGATTTGTCACATTAATAAATTATCCTTTTCTTTGCTAATATTTATATTTATTTATATGAGCTATAATAGCTTTTTGGTGAGACTATTATGTCATATTTAAAACATTTAAAGTGTTTAGAATCTTTTACTGACTTTTATAGCAAGATAAAGAATCATTATATGAATACATTTAAGAGTTAAGTTTAAAAATCTACCTTTCTCAGAAGGATTTGTGTATGTGGGCATGGTTTTAAATGATTCTGGAGGTCACTTTCAGGTCTCACAATTTTAAGAGAGAAATGCCTTCTGTTTTCTTACTGTCTGACATAAGTGTTTTCTTCGTCAAGAAATAAAAGTTTACCAATACCTTAGAAAACTCTGAGTTCTATTTTTCCGTAAGAGTACATTATAAAAGCTTCTCTGTCAAGCAGCCCAGTGTTAAATCCAAACTCTACAGTCACACATGTGACTTTAGCCAAGTTACACAATTTCTCTAGACCTCCCTTTCCTCACCTATAAAACAGAAATAATACAATGCAATGTAAAACACTAAAAAGATCAAATGAGATATAGGATTGTGGCCTGACATACAGCAGATAAGATTCTCAACAAATGACAGTCTAATCTCATCATGCTGGTCTTTCATGAAATCAAGATCAGCTTTTAATAGTTTGCCTCCTACCTGGGATTTTGCAGTAAGTGCAAGAGAATGGTAACCACCTGCCTCCAGATGGATTACTTCTTTACCATCCAGACATTTTACACATAATGGTTGAAGCCTTAAAGAAAAACATACACACATACACACAATCTCAGAGTAAGAAGTATTCTCAGCAAGAATCATGGACTTTCTCAAATTATAAATGCTTTCAAGTAAAAGTAAATATTTCCAAAAAAATTAAAAATACTGGATTTATATTCAATCTACTCCTAAATATAAGTAATTTTAAATGGTTTTAATTTAATCTTTGTCTATTAATCACTAATTCACCACCATAATTCAGAATCTATTAAGAATCATAAAACAACTAAATGATTCATATGGCAGAGAGTATATTTTTTAATGATTAGGTGCTTTCACTCTGCTAAGGAGAAAAGAGACATTTATATTAACTGGCTGTTTTAGATAATCATTCTATTTACACACTTTTATAAATACTTATTGCTAATATCAAAAGAATTTCTCTTAGAACAGTTTTTCCATGATACACATGAATAGACATGGTTTAATACAGTGGTTATAGTTATTTTGGCAGCAGCAGATAGACCTCTTTCAGGTTAAGAAAACTGTTGGTTCTTTTTTATAAGTTAAAAACGTGAAACATTCACATGTTCCAGTGACATATAATCTTATCCCAAACACCCCTTTCTGCATTCTAACATGAATAAACATCAAAGAAGAGATGGAAAAATATACCATGGATACTTCAGTCCTTTATTGTTAGGAACAAATTCAAGACTAAGAATGATTGGGGGGAGCAGGTGGTGTTTGTTTTGGTTTTTTATCAGAGTTAATGGTGTATAACAACCTAGAGCTAGAAGGGACCAGATTTCCTCCAGGAGGAAGTGGAGATTTGGAGACCTTCAAGGGAGAGAAGTTATTTGTTTAAACTAATGCCTAACAGTAAACACTGGCAGCACTCACCTGGGCAGAACATCGCCATGCCCCAGCTGTCCTTCCTTCCCCTTCCCCCAGGTCCACACCTCTGTTCTCAGAGAAGGCAGGAGCGCATCTGCTTCCCCACTGTATGTCGGGGTCAGAACCACCGTTCGAGTTTTCACCCGTGCCGCTTTCCTCAGGAGTCTGGGCGAGACTGAAAACAAACCAGAAATATCATGAGGGAACAGACAGATGAGAAGAAAGGTACCATTTTAAAAAACTGTTGATTTTCAAGAAAATATACTAACATGATATTTGTGAAGCATATTCTACAGGTTCGCTGCAAAACTGGGGATTAAGTGAGTTTGGTAAATACTGCCTACTACATTCTTTCTTCCCGCCCCTGTGGAGATTCACACACACACATTAGCATGCTAAAGGTACGGTCAAGTCCTGCAATTAAAAGCCATGTTTAAAGCTGTTTAGCCCTACCCCACTTCCAAGCATTTGGCCAAAAAACTCTTTTCGGTACATTTTTTATACAGAATGGCTATATGACATCTTATGTAACTGGTATTCTAAAGAACAAGCTTAACAAAGTACTACACTAAGGCTAAGAAATATTTCTTCCATGTCAAAGCAAAATTAAAAGTAAAGCTTTTCCAAATGAAGGTCTGAAGTTCAAGCATGTTATAAATATTGTAACAAAAGATTTACTTTAGACATAAAGTGTTAAAGTTTCTAACTAAGAAAATGGTTATGAATGAGAAATGCTAAAAAGCTTTTGTATTTTGCCTGCTAACTTTATTTTACAGAGAACTTCATCTTTTAAAAAAGAATGCTGACATCTTTTACAGTGTTCTAAAGGAGAAGGCTATGGCACCCCACTCCAGTACTCTTGCCTGGAAAATCCCATGGACGGAGGAGGCTGGTAGGCTGCAGTTCATGGGGTTACAAAGAGTCGGACACAACTGAGCGACTTCACTTTCACTTTTCACTTTCATGCATTGGAGAAGGAAATGGCCACCCACTCCAGTGTTCTTGCCTAGAGAATTCCAGGGACGGGGGAGCCTGGTGGGCTGCCGTCTATGGGGTCGCACAGAGTCGGACACGACTGAAGTGACTTAGCAGCAGTAGCAGCAGCAAATTATAACAAAGGCTGTTATAACACAGTGCAAATCTTGTACACCAATCTGGTGACAGACTGTTTTGAAGAAAATCATCAAGTGTCACTAAGTACAGACTCAGTCACTTGATCATTAAGTTGTGGGTCACAAAGAAAATGATCATCACTGGCAAAGATTACAATCTTTTCTGCTGAGTGTGCCACTAGCTTATACAAGGTTCATAAGCAGAAGCATGTATCATGAAAAAGTGAGGGTCTAAAGTTATTTCTAAAGCACAGTAATATGTAACTTCAAAAAATTAATTAATGAAATAAATTTTGATATTTGAATATGTTAACTTTAGTAATTAAGAAAGCAAGTTTATTAAAACACAGTATGTGATGTCAGGAGCATCTTGGCTTCACCGGAAGTCAGCTCACAAAAGCGAGCTGTTCCCTCACCTTGTGACAACAAGCCAGGGAGAGAGAGTCTTCGGCTGCCTCCCTCAGACTCTTCTTCTCTGACATCCACAAGACTTGAACTCTTCTTCCCTTGCATTGACTCCTGTCTGACCTGTTCTTCTCTGCTATCTTTCAGACCTTCTGGGCCTATGGAACTGCTGCCTGCCAGAGCTCCAGGCTCACAAGGGGCTGCACTGTAAAAGTTCATGACTTTCTTGAGAGACAAGGCCCCAGCTTCATACGTAGCGGCCACTCTCACACCAACAGCAGACGCACAAGAGACCACCAGGCTGTTGAGGGCGGAAGTGCTCGTGGTCGGTGGGCTGTGAAGGTTAGGGATTGCTGCTTCCACAAGAAGCTAAAATACACACACATAAAACGGCATGTAAAAATACAATCCCTTACACAACAAATAATCAATAAAGAGAAAACATAACACCTATCACTATTCGCAAATATAAGACTCTAAAACAGGTCTTCATCTCCAACCTAAACGTATCCCTTCTTGATCATGTACTTAACACATTTATATGGAAAAGAGTACTCAAAATACAGTTCCTTATAAAAAGTACTTCCTTTTGTTTAAGTGGGATCTATCATGGGATTTAAAAATAAGTTCCAGCTGCTTTATAAAATAAAACACAGTAGAGGGGAGAGGAGAGGGAAGGTATGAAAACGAAGCCTTTAACATGAGGTAACAGCCCTGGATAGGAGGCTGAAAAAGTGTAAGCTTTACTATTGATCACTACTAAGAAAAATTATACAGATTGTTACTAAGAAATTATGAAAAAAAAATTCAATTTTAAGAAAATTCTATTTTAGGCTTTTCCTAAAATACTTTATAGACAGAAATTTATATATGGCATACAAAGGCAGAGGAATAAGCTATGTCTCTAAATTATCAGCCCCCAAATTATGTTTTGGCGTTTATGCTCTCCTACTATCTCATCAGGAGTTATTTTCCATGACCCAGGCACAAGGTAAACTGAAAAGATTACCTTTGCTCTCGTTACCAGTGAGTGATGTGGGAGGCTAATCATTAAACATTTGGATCCAACGTGCTCAGTGTTATTCACAGCTGTATTAGAAAGCTAACTAAAGTTTTCTGGTATCTTAGTGAAAGATCAATTAAACTGTACTCTGAGCTGTCAAGCACCACTGCTTACTAAAAAAGATAAGCCTACTAACCCACACGAAAAGCTTTTGGTTTATGAGTACAGGTCACAGTGAAAATTTTGTTTCCTATGCTACCCAAATATCCCAGAGGTGTGGGTATGCGCACATGTGTGTGTATGTGTGTATGTGTATAATATTTCTTCATTCGTCCTGAATTGCAAACCAAACCCCCCATTTTTAACACTGGCTTCTGCTTTTCTTACAGGAAATAATTCCTGTTCCCTGCATAGTGTCTGACATGTAGTAGGCACTCAACACATTTTGGTGAATTAAATACTAAATTCAGAAGTACCACTTCTGTGTGAGTCTTTAATTAAAATATCCAACAAAATAAACAAATAGACCATATTAAAAAAGTTAAATACAAAGTCTATCACTTCCTTGGTAACACAGTTCCCATGATAACATGTTCAGAAAAACTAGTGTTGCTACTTCCACCCTCTATTTACAAACACTCATAGGTGGTGCTATCTGGTAAAAACCCGCCTGCCAATGCCAAAGCAGGAGACTGAAGAAACGCAGGTTTGCTTCCCGGATTGGGAAGATCCCCTGGAGAAGGGCACGGTAACCCATTCCAGCACTTCTTGCCTGGAGAACCCCATGGACAGAGGAGCCTGGCAGGCCATAATCCATAGGGTCGCAAAGAGTCGGGCAGACTGAAGTCACATTAACAGCATGCATACAACAGAAGCTGTAACAGTGTTAGGGGTGACTGGCTTAGGGAGGTCCTAGCGTCAGGCTCAGGAAAATTAAAAAAAAAAAACACCTCTACCTTATATAAACTTTAAACTATTGTCTTAATTTGCTCCTCTACTTAACTACGTTTAACAATTCATAAAATAAGTAAATAAAAACACATGCCCAGCAATTCTGACAAAAGACACAATTTTAGTAGTCCCAGTCAGTAAAATTCAATAATGACATATGCGTCATTACCAAATACTTTGGCTTATTTCACAATATGTGATATTCTTTCAGTTACATCTGGCCAGAAGAAGAAAAGACTCATCCTAGGCTCCATAAATTCCTAAGGGTTAGCTGTGTGACTGAGACACTATTTACAAAGATGAGTGAGTTACACTTAGCTACACACACACTGCCGAAACTAGCACAAGTAACCAAAGCTTCACATGTTTAACCAAATGACTGGGTCCAGAGAAAAGTGCAATTTCAATGACAATCTACTAATCAAATAAACAGTACAAAATAAACTTTTAACTTCAACTTTAACAAATCAGATGAATGACCTCTGATGTCAAAATCTAACTTTTTTATTAGCATGCACAAGTCCTGTTAAATTATTACTTTCACTTTGTTTAGACTTCCCTTTCTTTCTCCAAACAGCTTCTTAACTGAAAAAACAAACAAACAAACAAATATCTACAAGGTTCAGAAAGTAGACTGAAATAAAGACTGTTTCTGAAAACACCTCTAAGCCACATTTCTATCCTGAGCCAGCAAACGGTAAGGAAGAATCAAGAGGCAAAGTGGTTTCAAAAACCTGAAAACAATGCCACAAGGTAGCTCTTTTATTTGAGTCTTAATCACTGACTCACCAGGGAAGTCCCTATGATTAGATGTTTCTATTTAGATTTATTTTGGATAAGTAAAAGCCTTCTACTAAGAGTAAAAAACCGAGTATCCTTTAGAACAATTTGTTTGAAGCAGGGAGACACAGTTTACTATATGCCCCTGGTAAATAGCTTCTCTCCACTTATTACACGTTTTCCAACTAAAAATAGTTTAAACAAGTTGAAAAAAAAAATTAAAGCCTCCATCCAATGATGCCCAGTAAGGACCACTGATATAACTAAAAAGAATTCAAATATGTAATGCCTGTCAATTTTAACCCTGCCCTCAATAGAGGGGTCCCTTGAGGCAGGGATCCCTACCACATAGCAAGCTTCCCTGATAAAGAAGGAAAGGATTTTTCTCTAGACCCTGAAGAGTGCTGCCAAGTACGTATCAGAGAATTCTTTGTGAATACACAGTCATGTCAGATCAAACTTTTTTGGGAGCCCACCTTAGCCAGGGGGGGAAAGTACTTGGACAAGAAAAATGGGATTTTGCTACTTATAAAACAAGCCCAGTAATATCTTGCAACATCATAAAGGGCTGGAATTTGAACAAAAAGAGTAATTTTGAATCAATCCAGGGTTTTTCTGATCTAGGCTTGCACGATGAGATAGAAGTATAGTCAAACTAAAAAAATTAAAAATGATACCAACCCTTAGGTATTTAAAGTTTCCCAAGAAAAACTCAGATGGTTCAACTCCAGAAACACCTTTACAAAATTTAGCAGGTACCTGAGATGGCACTGGCTTTTCACCGTTCTCAGAGTTTTCTCTTACTGAACGATCCGACAGTTTCTGCACATATTCATTTACTGCCTGACTGTCAGGGTGTGATGGTAGACTTCTTGCAGAAGAAACTTCAGTTGTCCCAATGATATCTCGTGGGGAGGAAGTGGTCTGAACACCTGTGGTCTGAACATTTCCAACATTCGGTTCAGAAGCAGCAGGTGGCTCATTCTGCACAAGAGTGTTCTCAAACACTTCTCCCTGGCTGTCAAGGGTTTCAGAGGAGGGGCTGACAGTGGAGGTCGCCTGGATTTCTGCCTGGGATTCTGACAGTGTCACACCTAATGGACAACAGTGGCTGTCTGATATAATCACGTGGTCTTCCTTGTCAGTCATCGTAATTAAGAGCTGGCTGCACTGGTTGCATCTTTCTGGCACTGGCTTCAGGTCCTGGGAAGGGAGGCACTGGACCAGTGCTAAGCTGTGGAAGGCACCGCAAGCAACCTGGAGCACTACTCGCCCAGCAAGGTGTTCCACCTTTTGTGGCTTTGTCACTGGGAAGGTGGTGGTGATGAGACCCAACTGACAACCGGTACCCCATGCCCAGATCTCTCTGCTGAGGGACAATGCCAGAGTGTGCTCCTCACCACATGCCAACTGCAAGATCCTGACCGCTAACAAAGGACTGCTCTCAGAATCAGAAATGCTGACAGGCTTTGGCTCTGGAACATACGGCTGGTTAGCTACCGCACACTGGCCAGAAGAGTTCTCCCCCCACATGTACACCACACCACTGTCTGTGACTGCTCCGGTGTGGAAACTCCCTGTTGCCACGGTAACAACATACTGCCCAACCAGGGCATTCTCCAGAATGGGGCTGCTTGGACAAGTTTCTGCTGGCTCACTTCTCCAGGGGAGAGTCCCAAAGCTGTAGACCTCACCATCTGAGGGTTTAATAACAAAACAAAACAGAAACAAAAAGTTAGTGAATTAACTAGACATTTTCTCAGCTAACCTTTAGTACCCTCTAGGTTTAACAAAATAGAATTTCTTTTTCCTTTTCTTAATTTTCCAGAGCACAGCTATAGACATTTTGTTCAAGCACATAGAATCCCATACTTACGAATCTTTTAACAAAGAACATCTTTGAACATTCAGAAATATAGTGAAAATTTCTACAAACTGCAGGAGACAACTTCAAATGAAGGTGCTCCTCTTCTTCAGCCTCATTCTATAAACTCCTAGAACCAATCATTACTAACAGCTCTCATCGTAGACTATTACAGAAGTGGATTCCAAGTTCAAACACAGAACATTGATCATGATATGATCAGATAAAATAAGCAGAAGACAAAACAGACACATTCACTAATATCTACAATATTCACTACTAATGTTTAACAAAGCAGTAGATGAATATGCAATGGCATAAAAAATACTAGAGATTCACTTTGGCCAAAACAATGAAATCAGCTTTATATAACACCTCCAGGTTGGACTGAAAGCAGCAATATTAATAATACATGACTGTCTTCATGTTTTGTACTATACTATGTATAATTTTTAAATATTATATATAATATATATTGTGTACTAGACAGCCTTTCTGAGTTGCATTTAAAAAACACATCACAACAAAACAAAGTAAAACACAAACGAAGTCATGACTGGGTAGCTTTACACTGAAGGGTAACTGGCCAGCCCTTTAGAAGTAAAAAGGAAGGCACCAGGGAGTTGGAGACATAAATGATGACAACCTATTTATGCTCACGAGTGCTATCAAGTCATAGTTTTACTGCAGGTACTGCAGGAATTTGGGGGCATGTATAAATGATCCATATTAGCTAAAAAATTTAAATGGGACAAAGATTTGGCCATGGATTTTAAAAAATATTAAACAAAGGCCACTATCCTTTCTTTCCTATATAACCAGGGACCTACCCCCCCCTTTTTTTTAATTAATAAAGAAATGAGTACTATTCTTCTTCCACAAGCAGCGATTCAGTCACTGATGGAAAAAATGCTTATTTTATATCAGGCCTATGATACATGGCAGATACAATTATATACTAAAATTAACTCACTACAAGATCTATGTAAAGAAAAACACAACAGTGGCTAGAAGAAAGATCAGCTTTTGTTAGGGAATTTCTAATTTGGATAGAGTACTGAGAAAATAAGCTCACTGGTTAAGAGCTTTCAAACTTTTCTTCCCAAGTGATATACCTATCAGACTTTCAAACTTTTCTTCCCAAGTGATACACCTATCAAACTTGTTTACCAATATCACACCATTCACTAAAACTTTCAATTGGTATTATTCCACTGGAATAATAGGCTCTCTAGAGAAAACTGCAAAGAAACAAATATTTAGACATCATTTAAAAACAGTATCCCACAAAAACAATGAGTCAATGAGGTGTCCTCACTGAATCAGGAGCTAATGGCTAACTTGAATAGAGACAAAGAAGCTTGAAATCTCTAGTATTCAATCAACACCATTTCCTCACTTAGAAAAGAAAGTGCTGGAGATGTCTGTGCCATTTCAAGCTACACGCTTGTGTTGAGAGGAGACTTTCTGTTACTTTGACACTTAAACCAGAATACTGCTTACACATGAACATAGGTTATTTACATATTTTTTTAAGTTTTCCCTCAGTTTTCCCAGCCTTTTAGGTTTGATTCTAGATGTTTAAAGATACCATGCTCATGAAGGATTCCTAAACAGCTTACTGAAGGGCTAAAACGACAACAGTAACAGAATTCCATTTATATATGCTTGAGAACTATAGATTTTGAAGCCCATAGTGTAGGTACTGAATATAGTTCACATTTAAAAAATAAGGCTTTTTCCAAATTTTGGCCTAATACAATAATAATGATAGTATTATGTATTATTATAATAAAAGTGACATAATAACAAAGAAATTAGGAAGAAATCTACGTTTACCCCATAAAACCACCAAGGTCAGCTTTAAGCTTTGTTTCCTAAAATTTGTCTTCCCTTAGTTCCTACAAGGAAAATACCAAAGCATTATTAAATACTTAACAAATGCTTATAGAGCAGAAATTTATAAATCAGTGGAGTTGATGGCTGTCCTGACCCAAATCAAATTTACCATGACTGTGCTGGGAAAATGCCATCAAAATTAAAGGTAGCTCTCTATATAAATTATAGCCTAGGTTTCTGTTACAGATTTATAGACTGCATTATATTCTTATGAGCTGCCATTTATGCCTGAGAAAACCTGTACTAAAATAGTATAGCCAAGTGATTTTAAAAGCAGGCTTTGAAATCAGACTCTCTGGGTTCCCATCCTGACTCTGACCCTTTAAATAGCTGTGTGTGCTTGGGAAAATGATTTAACCTCCCTGACCTTCAGGTTCCTCATCTGTGAAGTGGGGATAATAACAGCAGCTACCTCATAAGGTGGTTGTCTGGACTCAATGAGATAATACATATAAAGTGCATAGTACAGTGCCTGGCACATAGAATTGCCTAACAGACATTTGCTATTATTAGCATTATTATTCTGATACACTTAATGAACAAAGGTATAGCAACAGGATCTCTGAATACATAATCTTTCAAAAAATCTGATTTTTCATGTACTTACCACTACAAAAAAATTTCAGGTATAATTCTCCCTTTTATTCTAGCTAGGGAACATCTTAAATTTAAGAACGAATCTGATTGCTGATAAAGGGAGTAAGAACATAGTTTGAACACAAAAGAACACGAGCTCCAGCAAAGCCAACTCGGCCGCGGCACACACGGGGCTCAGCCGTCCTGGTGCTCAGACACGGCTCAGGCCTCAGTGGGTGCCGGCTGAGCCGCCGTCCCCAGTACCTTCAGTCAGAAGCGCCCCGTGTCGCACTCCAAGGGCGGCGTGGAGGACAGTCTTTCCTCCCCAGCCTGGCAATCTCTCTGGTGCCACGGAACAGGACCCTGCCTGCCACACGTGCACCAGGCCTCGTTCTTTGGATCCTTCAGCCTCTGTGGAACTACAAACATCAAGAAAAATAGCTTAATTGTTTCTGTAGTTCAGAACTATACCTTTTGTCCTTAATATTGTCATGAAGATTTATACCTTTTACCAGTACATGGGTGACTGGGTCAAACAGGTTAGCACCTATTTTATGACTTGGTTATGACACAGAAGCAGAGGCAAAACAACTATTTATATGAGACCCTAAGGACAAATCCACAAATTACTTGTTTCTATCTAAGAAGCCAACAAAACCTGGGCTATTTTTTGAAGTTTTCTGATTGAGTAACATAAAATTTCAAAATTCTAACTTCTCAATACATTAAGTCCTTAGCTATTAAAGTTACAACATATCCAAGGTTGGAGTTTTATTTTTAAATTTTTTTAATTTGGTCGGAAAAAAAAAAACAATAGGTATCTGATGAGAAAGACAGGAGCAGTAGGGATCTTTACTTCACTTTATGCTGAATTTAAGCTCTGTAATTCCTATTTAAATTTTTGAAAGTTAAATTTATAACAGGTAAAATCCTTCATGCTTTACTCACATTTTAGCCAAAGAATTCTATGCATTTTGACACTGGCTCAAAAATCATAAAACACACAGCTGTGTAATAATGATCATATCCTAACTGCCTCTCTTTCCAAGAAAAGGTCATATTAACATACTCTGGGTTTCCTTTATATAAAGTCTTCCTTTGTGTCACCACTGATGGGACATTTCTTTTTTCATAATCTTTTTTCTAGAATACTGATGCCAAAATTTTAAGGATATTCAGAAATTTTCTTTGACTTCTTTATTTTGTAATACCTGGGATTTTCTCTATTTGTGCTAAATAATATTCCTATAAGTTGTAATTGGATACATCCATGGGTTTATGAAAGGGAAGCCACAAACCTAACCCCTTTTTCAAAATATCATCCATGACGAGTTTTCTAAGGATAGAATTATAATTAATAAGGCTACTTTTGAAAAACTGAAATTATGTGAGGAAAAATCGGCTTCAAAAGCTTTACAATGATGAAATGACATTTTGTACCTTTAGTAAGCATAAGAAAGGGACTACTAGCAACAAAGTGAACCACTAACAAGCTTTATTGTAATTATCTTTCTCTCTTTGCCAATCAACACAAATGTCGCTATTCCTACTTGGTAACCATCGAGAAGAAAATTAAACCGAAGAGAAGCTACACATAAGTGGAGCTGTTTGCTGTGTTTTCCTAGAAAGACAGAGGAGAAGGAAAAAATGGTTTTACCTTTTCTTCTTTGAGTCCATCGGTCAGTGGGAGCACTCCATCACCAAATCATTCTCTCCTTGCAAAAGGTAAAGACCTAAACAGCAAAATGCAGGGAAGCACAAAGAGCAGTATAAAACCCTTTGCTATTTTATCAGTCAGATTTTTCAAAAACAGAAGAAAAAAAAAAACGCAGCCCTCCAACAAGCGCACATTCACTGGGCAATAAATATGCAGCAAAACTATTTAAACTATTTCATATCCCGCCTGCCAAAGTCAAATCTCTAGACTGAGCCTGCCCACCAGCTTATAAATGCCCGCTGAACGTCAAATGTAATTTCAAAGCGAGAAGAGAGTACCTATGACCTTGCTGTACTCTGCCAGGCAACAGACTTTCTTCGTTTGTTTTACTATAAAGAAGTGGAATCTGAAAACTCAGCGTGTTACATATTCACTACACACACACTAAGGCTACTTTTTAAATGCTTCTGGGACATATGTACACTGAAATACAAGTTAAATAAACAAGAACTGCTACAATCTCTCCAGTAATGTATCAGATTCAAGCAGTTTTAATTTACATTTTCCAGCAATGCCCACACACAAAATTACATCATTAGAACAAAGTTCTCCATTTATTGGAACTAGCAGTATTTCCCCCAAATCAATCTTAATTCAAAACCATAATCCAAAGGGCTGGAAGAAAGAAATCTGAATTTGAAAATATCATCTGCCATTTAATAGAAAAGAGTTACATGAAAATAACAATACAAATATCATGATCCATCATTTCAGCAACTCAAAGTTTAATAAAGTTAGAGCTAGCAATAGGAACAGGCAGACAGAAACACTCAATGCATTTCAACTTAGAAATTCACATTTTTAAGGGCACCAAAGCTTATGAAAATAAGGGCAATGAGGTTTTAGATGTGTGAGTGATAAAAATACTGTGGCCAAATTTATTATTGTCTTGCAAAAGGATATGGCATGATCACAATGCTCTGCAAACAGCCCACACCGGCAGGAGAGATGTAAGATCCATCTGTTTACTCCAGGTTGCCTGTGAATTCTTACTGTTTCCCATCTGTATATCTGGAGGAAATTACTCTCTACCTAGTGCTTATTTTAGAAAGGTTCTGAATCATTCCAAGTCGGATGAAGGGTACCATGTAAATGAAAGATATATTTGAATAGATTTAGCCAATTCATTGGAAGAGACCCTAATGCTGGGAAAGATTGAAGGCGGGAGGAGAAGGGGACAACAGAGGACGAGATGGATGAATGGCATCACCAACTCAATGGACATGAGTTTGAGCAAACTCTGAGAGATAGTGAAGGACAAAGAAGCCTGGCGTGCTGCAGTCTATAGGGTCACAAAGAATCGGACACGATTCAGTGACTGAACAACATTTAATAAATATGATTACTAAGTGGTATTATGCTTTGTGTGTGACAGTAATTACCTTTTAGTAAAAGGTACAGTTCACAGCATACAGAAAAGTTCTGAGGACAGGTCTAACCTTTGCTTGTCTATCAGAGATCAGAGTAACTGGTCCCTTGATACAGGTGAAACAGTGCCCTGGAAGAAACCAGAGAACTGCTCCGGGAGGGTGCAGCAGTGCACAAACACACTTCATGCAACTGACTCACTGCCTCTGAGCTGAACTGTGTCCCACTGCCTGGCAATCAAAACCGTGGTGAATCTTTTGGTAAAGTGACTAAAGCAGCCAACATTTCTTCCCTTTTGGTGTCCTTGTCTTGAATACAGGGCTTTCTTAAAGTAGATTACTCCTTATGCGATATGATTTCTCACCAATAATCATTCTTTCAAATCCAAATGAAATTAAAACTCTACAAACTGCTTTGCAACATTCCTTTCTTACTTTCTATCTACGGTAGGGAGGATAATGATCCCCAAGATGTCCATGTGTCCTAATGCCCAGAACCTGGGAGTATGTTAGGTTACACGGCAAAGGAGAAGTAAAGCTGCTAACCAGCTGGTTTTAAGTTGGGGAGATGATTCTATTAATAGCTATCCAGGAGGACTCAGTATAATCACAGAGTCCTTAAAAATGGGAAAGGGAGGTAAAGGAGAGTTCGAGAAAGAGATATGATGATGCAAACAGGGTAAAAGAGCTGCTAAACTGCTGGCTTTGAAGATGGAAGGAAACAGCCACAAGCCAAGGAACGTAGGTGGCCTCTAGGAGCTGAAACGGGCAAGGGAATGGATTCTTTCCTAGAGCCTCCAGAAAAAAAATGCTGCCCCGATGATACACTGAAACCCAGAGAGACTTGAATCTGACTTTTAACCTAAAGAGCTCTAAGATAATAAGTTAGTGTAATTTTGGGCACTAAATTTGTAGGAACGCTATAAGCAGCAACCGAACGCTAGTATACTATTTCACAGACATCTTTATCAATATTTATAGATCTAATTTTGTTAATGGTGTTTAATATACTTCTAAGAAGATATGCCCACCTGAAATTCAAATATGGCAATGAGAAAAAAAGGAAATGACTGCTAAGGAAACATAACTAAAAAGGAATATTACAGCTAAAATGTGCAAAGCTTATAAAGTTTTACCTTACATACTTAAAATATGTAGCATTTACCAAATCCAGTTAACCTAGCTTTCTTCCTGAACTATGTATCCAAACAAGAAAAATAAATTTATAAATTTTGTTTTCCTAATATTTTTATGATACCCCTCTCTGGGAAATCTATAAGACTTGCCTCAACCATTCAAATAGCATTTAGACTTGCTTATGTTCTTCCACTGTTTAACATTTTTAATTGTTATAAAACTGCCTAATTATGAGGCTTCTTCTGAGGATATTTCTCCCCAGGTGAGTCAGGATCCCTGCACTCTGCTTTTCTTCTGTTACAGTAACTTTCTCTCCAGCCTTTATTATATTAACTAGCTCTGACCCAGAAGCTCTGTGATATTAACAGACTCAGATAATGTGGGGTCCCCTCTTTTACTTCATCTGGCCTTCAGACACCAATGGCATCTCTAAAAGAAGCAAAATAGACTCTGGCATCCCCTCCAACTACTAAGTACTATGAGCCACAGAAGAAAGCTACATTCAGTTTAAATATACCCTGGAACATTTCAAATGATCTCCTTCACAGTGAAATGTAAAGTAATCAAACTCTCAGATGACCTTTTAAAACAAAAAGCAAATTTTGGTTCTTAATGAATTGATTTCACTGTTAGATCCCAGTGGACACACAACCTCCTGTTACATTTAACAGAGAGATAAGCTAACTTGTACATGCAGAGGATATGGTTTTAGTACCATGATCTGGCAGTGCCTAAAAAAAAAATTCTGGTCTAGATGTTCTAATTATCACTAGAAAGAAGAGCTGCAAACTATCTACAGGTCCATGATACCATAACCAGAAATCCAAAGTCCAAAAAACTCTGAAAACTAAAAGCTTTTTTCATTTATGTCTTCTGGTGGTAAAATTTAATCTGACCTGAACTCACCCAAGAGCAAAACCTGACCGAAACTAATGTGAGGCTATTTAGTTTTTACCCTTTAGTGTACATCTTTATAAGTTTTGTCACCGAAGTATTAATATGATTGTAGGGTGGTATCAAAAGCCCCATAGGAAGTGTTATATATGGTTTATACATCTTAGTCCAAAGATCAGAAAAACTCTGAATTTCAAAACACATCTTGCAAGTAAGGGTTTGCAAGTAAGGGTTACAAGTAAGGGACTGGGAACCTGTATTCTAAAATTATCATTTTGGTAGACATCCTCAACTTTCTAATGGCAATGATTTACATCACTCGTTTCAAAAGTTTTAAGTCAGTTTTATGGTGAACATAGTCACATACAGTGCCCAAATGAGTTTTGTAAGGAATACCCTCCCTGAAAATACTCTCTTGCCTCATCTGAGTGGAGGAGGAAGCCTGGGCTCCTTAATTTCACACAAGACTACCCGTTTGGTGCAAAGAGGTAAATGGTGAGAGGGGCTGTGTCCTAGAACAACAAGGACTTAGTGATGCAACAGATACAAGTGGGAGATAAAGAAGAAGAAGGGATCAAAAATGACCTCTGACTTCTGCCTTGAGCAACTGTGCAGTGGTACCATTTACTGAAATGAGGAAAAGTGAAGGGACAGGATTCTGAAGTAGAAGGTAAGATTCTGGTTAGACAAGATTTTTTTTTTTTTCGTAAGTTCAAGGTGCCTGTGAGAAATCCAAGAGTACATATCAAGTGAGCAGCTGAATATATGAGTCTGGTGTTCAGAAGAAAGGTCTTAACTATTGAGATAAACCTGGGAAGCATGTGGACAATATCTGAGAGCAAGACAATGGATGGTGAGAGAGGAACGCACACAAAAGGAAGGAAAGGCACAGGATCAAGCTGTGAGATGCCTGGACAGACTGAGCAACGGGCAAAGGCTGAGACGGGACGTGGCCTGAGAGGCAGGAGAAACATGAGTCTGAGGTGGGCACACGAAACAAAGCAGAAAATGCTTCCAGCAGGAAGGACTGCTCAGCACAGCTGGGGTCTCAGCTGGGGACTGAAAACCAGATTGGAGCAGCCTGACTGTAAGTGGCTGGAAATAAAATAAGGACATGAAAATAAAGTTGGTGCAAATGATTCTTTTAAAAAAATGTTGAAATGGCAAACAGAAAGGAGCAGTCGCTGGCGAGAAACATGAAGATGAAGAGCATATTTTGGGGGAGCAGGGTCAGATGAGAGAGAGCTGAACACGTCTGCAGGACGATGACACTGATCCTAGACAGAAGGGGGACAAGGACAGAGGGCAAAACCAAAACCCTGGACAAAGCGGGACAGGAGAACATTCAGAACACACAGGCCATGGGACTGACCTTTCATGAGAGGAAGGGTCTACATTTCAAGAAGGAACCAAACGGCAGGATAAACACAGGAGGATCACAGATTCCGTGGTGGGCGGCTAAAAGCCCCACGGGATAGCACCTGTGACTAGGACTTCACCGTATGTGTGCTGTGCTTTCCAATCTCACACCTGGCTCCATTCATTCCATCTCTTCACTTTAT